CTCTAGGCTGGGGGCGCAGCTGCTTAGCCTATTGAAGCTGAGGTCGGCCAGGTCTCGCAGGCCAGCCAGGTTGAGCTCGTGGAGGCCGCTCAGTGCCTGCTGGACCTGCCGTGCTGTTTCGGGTTGAGCTAGCAGTGTGCCCGACACAAAGAGGCTGTTGCAGCCGCTGAGGTCAAGGCTACGCAGGGCAGGACAGCCCAGGATCAGGGCCACAAAGGAGGCCTCTGTGGGGCTGCCCCCACTGAGGCTCAAGCTCTGCAGGTGGGGGCCCAGGTGGTAGGCAACGGACTGCAGCACCTGGTGTGAAGCTGGTGAGCCATCCAGGTTGGTCAGGCTGATGCTGGAGACGCCCCTGAGGCCCAGGCTCTTGATGGTTGGGAGAGAGGCCGAGGACACAGGAATATTGTACCGCACGTTTATCTAAAGGGCAGCAGCAGACTTGGGTTAGCCCTCTGACCTCAGAGCGTGCTGGGCATCAGATCTAGTGGCAAGTTGCTGGTTAGAGGTTCAGGGCAGGTCAGGGAAGGACCCTTCTATGCAGGGGCCCACGGTGGTATAAAATGTCATGTGTGGTTGAGGAGTGCTGGTGGGAAGTGGGAGCTGGGAGGATAAGACACACCGGGGCTCAAGGGGATTGGTGACTAAGGGGAGGGCATGAGATGAGTGATGGATGGGTCTAGATGCCTATGGAGTCCTGTGAAGAGTGGGGAGCTGGCATGCAGGGTACAGGAGGGGTAGGGCATGGCCTGGAGGAGGCCCAGAAAAGCCTCCAGGGAGTAGGAGGACCTCAACCTTTGGGACTTGCAGGTGGCCCTGAGACCCATGGACTCAGCCGTTGGTATTAGCTAATAAGCAACCAGCCTCCGCTCCTTTCTCAAGAGCATATACATAGCCCTCAGATCAGCTGAAGGCGGGAAGAAGCGAAGCAGGTGTCACTCACCACAACCCGCTGTGGCCCAGATGCCAGAGATCTGGGACAGGCAGTGAGGCTGAGGCCCCCTGGTGGCTTCAGTGTCTCAGCCACATGTTTGCAAAAATGGGTTCTGTGTGTAAGTGAAATGTGTGCATGCATGCCTGTGTGTATGTGCACACACTAACTCGTGTGAGCTCCACAGGCTCCAGAGTTTGAGAGTGCTTGTGATTCCCGAGGATCTTCTCTGGAGGGTCTGTCTTATCCAGGTAAGGAAAGAGAGCCTCCATTTCTGGGGGCAGGAACCAAGAGAATGAATCGTTGCCCAGCTGGTGTGGCTCAGTGGTTGAGCATCAACCTATGAATTCCCAGTCAGCAACCATGCTCTGGTTGCTGGCTTGGACCCCAGTGTAAGATGGGCAAGAGGCAGCCAATCAATGAGACTTTCTCTTCATGGATGTTTCTATCTCCCTCTGCCTCTCTCCTCCTCTCTGAAATGAATGAATGAATCGCAGGGGCTGAGGAAGTTGAGCTGGCCCTGCCTTGGAGGAACAGGTGAGCGAGAGTGGGGAGCAGACAGCTGAAGCGGGGGAGGCAGGAGGCCAGCTCAGGGCTAAGTCGTTGTGGGAATAAACTGGCTTGTGTAGGAGTTTGGGGAACCCCCAGATGTTTCCTAAAATCTCCCCCTGACCTTGTGCCAGAGGGAGCTAAAATGCAGTGGGTACAGGTCTTTGTGGAACAGGTCTGTGGCAGGAGGGAGAAGAGGGTTTGGCTTCTACAATCCTAGCCCTGTTCCTCTACCCCAAGGATGCCCAGATTGCAGGCAAGTGGTACTCAAAGAGGCTCTTGTCTTAATGTAGCAGCATGATCCTGATGCAGGAAAGCAAGCTCCCTGGAAAACTGCCCTGTCAGCAACTGTAAGAACACACATCTGCGGTGCCCAAAGAGAGCAGAAAGGTAGACATGGCACACAGTGTCCCTCCTGTAAGATATCTGCCCACAGGATCCTCCCAGGAAGACACATGGAACTCAGCCCCACGTGCGGAGAAACCAGCCTGACTTCCGCCAGAGAGAAGCAGTCATCTATGGCTACCGTGGTGTCATCCTGGGGAGGAGTGGCTGGTAAGTGATGGGGACCTGCTCCTGGCTGCTTCCGCAGGGATTGGGGAGGGAGGGGTCAAACCAGGTTCCCTTTCCACACCCCATTCTGAGCGAGGTCATTATGTGTGAGAGGAGCGCTCCCCACACCCCCTCATGGACACGGGACACAGGGGGGCAGTGGAGACTCCCAGGGACCTGGGTCCCTCTCTCAGATTTCAGGGGAGCTGGAGAGCATCCCAGTGTGAGGGTGGGAGGAAAGGTTTGGAAAGGGAAGGCACAGCAGGCCTCCAGTCATTTCCATGCTCTGCACGCCAGATGAGCCAGTCTGATGATGCATGGAGTGAACCATGGCTGGTGCTGGTTACCCAGGCAGCACCCGCCCCCTCAGCCACCCCCACAGGCCCAGGCTCCTTCTGCCTTCAGTCTTCCTTCTTTCCCTTCCTTCCTGAGCCCGGGTGTGTGTGGGGTGGGGTAAGGGTGTGGGGGTGAGGGGTGGAATGTTCTCCTCTCTCCCACTGCTTCCCTATAAACAAGGTAGCCAAACAGTGAAGGAAGGCCCTGGCAGTCAGCCTGGGGTCCAAGTTCAGGGCTGGTAACAGTGAAAGCCTCTGGATAAGGGGGCAGGGCCTGGCCTAAGGGACTTCCAGCTCACCCGCCTCCCTGCTCTCCACCATTTTTCTTGGTGGGGAGGGCGCGGCCTCTAAGTCATCACCTGGTGGTCTAGCCTGGACTCCAAGTGCAGGTGCTCAGGAGCAGCCTTTCAGAAATATGTGTCATCTGTGGGGGGCAGAGCAGCAGGCTCCTGGGTCCTTGTATTTGGTCCCAATATAGCAAAGCCCCCTCCCAGGCCCTAGGAAGATGCTTCTAGAGGCTCAAGAGAGGACTGCAAGGTACCAACTCCAGATTTAGTCGCCCTAGCCACAGAGGCCAACTAGCACTTGGTCTCTTCCTTTCCCAATGCTGGTGTCTTCAGAGTAAATGCGAAGTCCTTTGGGAAATGCCCTACATCTGCTAAAAGTGACACATGTCCTTTGACTGTGAGAGGCCAGGATTGTGGAGCCCAAGGGGAGGCTCCAGGCCTCTGTGTGCAGACTTGGAGAGCCACCTGATTGAGAAATGGCCCTCTGTCTGCTGGTACAGAAATCCAAAGCGAACACACCTGTTCTCTAGAAGGCCTTGGAGGAAACAGGCTCTGGAACTCAGGGGCTTTGGTGTTTAGAGAGGAGTGGATCTTCAGGTGAAGGCAGAGGAGGGCAGAAGCTGAGATGTTTTAAGTTCTTCACAGTGACCAACCCAGCAGCAGGCAACCAGCCCACAGCCCCCACCCCTGGGAACAGGCAGAGCCTGGGTGTACGTGGGGGTGCTGCTTTGTCTACTTTCTTATTTGAGAAACATTGGGAGTGAATGGGGCAGGTCAGGGAGAATAAAAAGCCACTGAGTCCAGCATCCTAGCCTGGCCTGGTGAGCCATAGGCCCTAGTGTGGCCTTGGTGAGCCAGAACCGTCCTTAGCACCTACCAGCTGGGGCACTACTTCCTTATCACCCTGCCCGGAAATCCAACTACCAACTAGATTTTACCATCCAGATGTCTTACTTCAAGTTTTAAACAGGTCCAAGTCAAATTCCTCAGACAGCAACAACAGGCCCTCCACTTTTAATCTGTGACAAATGGGGATTCTAATCCAGCAGGGAAGGGGAAGGGAAGATTATGCATCAATGGTATTTGGGCTAATTGAAAACTAGTCAGTTTAGCTTCTATCTCATAGCATCAATCAAAATAATTTCACTGATACAAACAATATAAAGACTCACACTGTAAAGACAGAAGAAGCAATTTTGCGGTGAGCAAAGATAAAGTCTAATAAAAAAAAAACAACAAGAAAACATGAGTGTATATTTATCAAATCTCTGAAGAGGCAAGGGATCCCTAGTTAAAAAAGCAATGGAAGAGCCACTGGTGTGGCTCAGTTGGTTGAGCATTGTTTCATGCACCAAACGTTGCTGATTCTATTCCCAGTCAGGGCACATACCCAGGTTGTGGGTTTAACAGGAGGCAAGAGATCAATGTTACTCTCTCTTTTTCTCCTCTCCCTCCCTCTCTCTCTCCTATAAAAATCAATAAAAACACATTAAAATAAAAAAGCAATGGAAGAAATAGAAAAAAGGCTGTGCAAAATCAACAACAAAGAAATTTAATCTCTGTATCTCATAAACAAACACATATGCACAAATCAAATTAAAAGATAAACATACTAGAAATATATTTCAATAAATATGTAAAAGATTAATCTCTTTAATATATAACATTTTTTATACAAATAGATAAGAATACTGAGACCCCAAGAGTTAAATGGATAAAGAACATGAATAAACAAAAGAGGAAAATATATATGGTCAACTAATGAGAAAACTACTCAACCTCAGTAATAAGTAAAAATTAAAACAAGGAGTTACCATTGCTTGCCTTTCAATCTCGGACAGATGTCTGCATTCACCTCCAAGCTGGGCTGTCTCTTTATACTCTGCCTCCCCCTCTCCAGCCCACTCTGCACTGCAGAATTCTGAGACACAAATCACCCTGTGTCACTCCGCAGCCTTAACATTTCTTTAAAGGCTCCAGGATGGTAACCAGGAGAAAACCCCAGCAATGCCACCTGGCACGTCTACCAGCTTGTAGGCTGACCTCTTTCTAACCTTATCGCCTACCACTTGTCCTCCACACATCTACGCTCCAGCCATTGGGAACCTGTGTGGCTGTTTTCAGAACTATTTCACATCTTGGTGCCTTCACCTGTGTAGCTACTAGTCCTGGATAGCCCAACCTTCATCCTCATCCTATTCCTCCCTGATGCTGCTGTCTCCTTCGGGTGCCCTTCCTCATGTTTCCGGTGCACCCTTCATTCCAATGTCACAGCACTGAGCACAGGATATTATGATACTTGTCTTTCTGTCTACTGGACTATGGGCTCCTTGGGGGAGGGGCTATGCCTTATTCATCTGTATAGTCCCAGAGCCAAGTATGTTTGAACATAATGTATATGTGAATATGTATGATGAATAAAATGAATGGACGATGTATGAGTAGGGCCATGAACAAGCTGATGTGAGAGACAACTGAGAAAGGGCCAGGTGAGGGCAGGCACCTTACCTCCCGAAGGGCATTCTGGGCTGCATAGTACCAAGCCCGACTCACGAGGGAGGCCTCTTTCTGATCTGACAGAGGCAGGAAGCTCAGAATATATGTGAGCATCTGAGGGAAGAAGAGAGGGCATTGGGGGCCGTTAGAGCTGGCAGCCTGGGGAACTTTCTCTGGCTGATGGCACAGCAGGGCTGAGGGCACTAGATCACTGGCTTCTACTTCATGTTGAATCCTAAGCTTCACAGAGTCCTCATGTCCCATCTGCACCTCCCAAGTATCTTTGCTGTGAATGAACTTTTATTTTGTCTGGATTCAGGATTGTACAAACTGATAAAATTCAGTTCGGTCATGAGAGCCTGGGCATTGGAACCAGATCAACCTAATTCAAATCCTTTATCAACTGACCTCTCTGAGCCTTGTTGTTCTTATCTGCAAAACGGCAGTTGTATAAGATTTAATATATATTGTGAGAATTAAATAACATATCTTGCATAGGATCTACAACATAGCAAGCCAGGTGCTCTTCTGATTTCTAGGAAGGTATACGTCTTCCTCCTACCCTCATAGATCAGGCTTTGGGAACCCATTCTTTCCCCATCTTCCCCACTGCCAACTTGCCTTCTCAGCTGCTAAGAAATGATCCCAGCAAGACCCAGCGCAGGAAGCTCAGGACTTCACTGCTCTATGAGGCTGGCGGGAGGGGTGGGAGCCCTATTATAGCGAACTGTAAAGGGAGTCAGCTGTAAGGCCAGGAATGATCTAATGTTAACTCTTCTGGAATCTTCCTTCCTTGACTCCTATGACACTGTTCTCTAGAGCTCCACTCACCACTCCAAGTGCCCTGTCTCTGGATCGTCAGTGGTTCCCAGGGCTCAGACTTGGGTCTTTCCATCTGTTTACTTTCTAGAATAAACATTTGCATGACTTCCACAGTTACCTCTATAGGAATAACCAACAATTCACTATCCTCATGTTATCTTATTCCAATGTCACCAACTGTCCACAGAAGCCTCCACCCAAATATTTTTACTATCAGCTTCATCTCAGCCAGAATTCATATTCTGCCCTCAGTCCACAGCAGTCCCATCTCCCAACTTTCCAGCATCTGAGCTTCCATGCCAACAGTGCATCTCCTCTGAAGGTCTTGATAATATAATACTTTGAACTTGTCATACTCTTCTGTCTCTTGCTCTCAGTAACAGATGTCAAGCATAGGCTTTAGGCCAGGCTAACTTAGATTCATTTAAACCCCAATTCCACTACTTCCTAGAATGGGGATATTAGAAAACATATGTCAGAGTCTCATGGGGATTAAGATACAGTTATATTAGATATGATGTGCTTGACACCTAGTAGGTGTTCCATAAATGATTGTTGGATTGCTGTTACTAATATTTTTACGTTTGAAACTTTACTTAGTAGCCTAGATTTTCATCTTTCTAAACCTGGATTCCTTTTACAGTCTTCCAACGGACTCTCATGCCTCCCGGCTCATTCTTACTAATCATTCTGCACACTTCAGCAAGGTTAATTTTCCAAAAACAGCTTCTGGTCCCAGCTCTTGTTCATGGCCCTACTCATACATTGTCCATCCCTGATGAAAACTTCTAGGGTATCCAGTACCCTCACAACACAATCTCCACTCTTGGGTCAGCACTGCCAGGCCTCCATGCCCAACTAGATCCCTGATCCCAGAGCGTCCCCAATTCAGTCTCCCCACCGTGCTACAAACACAGCACGTCTATTTCCTTTGCCTAAGTGAGCCTCTTTCTTAGAATGCCCTTCCTTAAGCTTGACCTCATCAGCCCATTCTGATCTCCTCTCATCCCTAGCCCACAGAAGGTGCTCAGCCAGTACTCACTGGATTGAATTAAGGATGGATAGTCCTCTCTCTCTCTCCTCAGGGTGGGGAGATAAAGCAGGTCAATTATTGAGAGAATGACTGGGGAGGAGGCTAGACTTAGGGAAGAGAACGCAGATGGGGACTGGGAATGACCAAGCCTCCAATCCCCAGGGGAGGCAGATATCTTATCTCTGAGCTGAGATAAGATAGCGGCCATTTGGTCTTCAGAGGCTCAGCCGCCAACTTGAGGATCAATGAATAGTAGAGTGCAAAGCAGCTGTCATCACTGAGGGGATTCTTTGAGCTGGGAAGGGGAATGGCTTTTCTGGAGAGACCAGAGCAGTCAGTGATAAGGAGAGACCAGAGCCGACCCATGAACCCCATTCCGAGAGGCTACCAGAGATGACTGGTTGTTCCTGGGATCTATGTGGATGAAGTAGATAACCTCTGCCCAGGGGAGAGAAGATGCCATGGCAGGGGGGCTCAGTGGGTGGGAGCAGTCCTATTTTTGCTAAAGGGAAGGAGAGCCATCCCAGGGCTGATGTGGAAAAGGTCTCCCGGAGGCATAGAAAGGGCAGCCAACTCTCAGGGCAAAAAGGATGGAGGAGTCCTCCAAGAGACCCCCGGGGACAAAACCTGTTACCTGCTCTCAGTAAAGGCGGCAGAGGGGTCTTGCTTCAGGCTAAGGAGGAGGAGCAAACTTCCCTTGGAGTCAAGGAGGTAGGGGCGGCCATCACTGGAGGCGGAGGGAAGGGGGAGCAGGCCGGTCTTTGGGGAGAGAACTCAGCGACCCTGCCCGGAGTTGATGGGAAAGGCAGTCTCCCCCCCGACAGTGGTAGGGGACAGCCATCTCTCGGGGTAGAGGGGATGAACCGATCATCCCTAGGCACCAATGGCATAAAATCAGTTACCCTTTGGGGACGATGGGATGGAGCAGAGACGGTCTACTACTGAGGGGGAGGGGCGGCCATGTCAAGAGAAGGTGGGTAGGCAGAGGCCCTGTTCTCTCTGAGGTGACAGAACAGCCATCTCCTGGGGCCGCTGCTGGGGAAGAAGAGGATGTCCCCCAACTTAAGGGGACGGAGTAGCCTAACGGTGGGGCCGTTACCCATAGCTTGCAAGTCCTCTGATCTGCCGCATGGGTCATTTCCGCCTGGCTACGGGGACTCTGACAGCCCCTCCCCACAGCCCGGGACCCTGAGGGCGGGGCCTGGCCCGAGCTGGACCTGAGGGCAGCCTCCTCTCACCTCCGGGGGCAGCGACTCCGCCATCGCATCCCTGCCGCCTCTGCCCCCGCGCAAAGGCACCTGGGAAGTGTAGTCTCACGGACTCCCCCTGAGGGGCGGGGCCAGGAAAGGAAGTGGCCCACTCGCTTCCGTCCCAGGTGTGACGATTTGGGTCTGCACCGGAAGTGCCTGTGCTGCCGATGTGGTACTCGGGGACTGCGGTTTCATTCGCTATTCCTTGTTTCCCCGGCTGGGTGCTTGCGTCGCGCCATGGCGGTAAGGAGAGCGGGTAGGGCGGGGTCCGCCTCGGCAAAGCGCTTCCAGGTCTGGGAGACTGAAAACAGAGGAAGGACAGCAAGAGAAGCGGGTCGGCCGGAGGGAGGCGCCGGGCCATACTAGGTGCACGGGGGTGGAAGGGAGCGGCGCTGGACCGTACCAGACCTGGTGCCGGAGTGGGGGTGGGCGTCAGTGTCACATAGTACCAGAATTGGCTAAAAATTGGGCCAGGAGGGTGGGGGTGTCAGCCGAGATCGTGCCTAACTCCAGCGGAGGCCGGAGAGGGGCCCTATCCAACGCCACTTAGGAATTCCCCTTGCCGGGGTCATCAGCCCGGAAGCCAGGCAATATCCCCTCTAGTGTTGCATTGTCTCAGGGTGTGCAGGCGACCATGGCTGAGATTGTTGGAAAAGATGGTTTCAGCCCTAAGCAGGATTGCCTGGAGAAGGGGGGAGACATTCCAAGTACCGTGCTAGGTTTGAGTATCAACGGGATGAGGTGCAACTGGAGCTCTGTAGCTAACCAGACTGGGTGGGGCGGGTGAGGAGGACCCTGCTGAGGAGGGCTCTGACAAGCATCTCCTCATTCTTCTGCAGCCCAAGGGCAAAGTGGGGACAAGAGGGAAGAAGCAGATATTTGAAGAGAACAGAGAGACCCTGAAGTTCTACCTGCGGATCATACTGGGGGCCAATGTAAGTGCCTGGCTCCTATTTCTGTGCTTAGCCAAGGTCCGGGAGTCCTCAGTTTTGTGTAGTGGGGGCTGTGGCGGCGGTGGCGGTGGTATGTGAGTCACTGCTTTAGAAAAAAATCCCCAAAATAAAGAAATACATAGATAGATCCTGTACAGAGGAAGTTGTTGAGTAGTCTAAACAACAAAATGAGATGGACTCCAGACCCTTTACCCTGAATACAGAGGCTTCTTTCCTAGGCTGATGTGTCAGAGAGTAGTCTGGGTACTCAGGACGGGAAGCAGATCTCTTTCCCCAACCCTGTCAGAAACAACCTGTCTTCTTCCACAGCCTGGCCTAGCGCTTGGTCAGAGTGAAGGGAGGTCCATGGTTTAGGGTAGCTTTGATCCCAGCCTGATCCTGTGTCTGCTTGCAGGCCATTTACTGTCTTGTGACCTTGGTCTTCTTCTACTCATCTGCCTCGTTTTGGGCCTGGGTAAGTGTTCCCCATCCTGGGGAGTGGGTAAGCACATGGGGTTAGTGGCTGGCCTTTGATACTTCCATCCCTGTTCTGCAGATGGCCCTGGTCTTTAGCCTGGTAGTATACGGGGCCAGCTACCACTCAATGAGCTCAATGGCACGGGCGGCCTTCTCTGAGGATGGGGCCCTGATGGATGGTGGAATGGACCTCAACATGGAGCAGGGCATGGCAGAGTGAGTGTCCCCCGCCGCCAGCTCAGGTGAGCGGCCCCAGGGCTGTGGTGCTGGGGCCCAGATAGCCCAAGACCCACAGCTGCCTGCAACTTGAAGGGGCGGGAGGTGAATGGGGGCCCATCGACTATTTTTGGCCCCTGCAGTCTCCCTTCTATCCACAGGCACCTTAAGGATGTGATCCTACTGACAGCCATTGTGCAGGTGCTCAGCTGCTTTTCCCTCTACATCTGGTCCTTCTGGCTCCTGGTGCGTGGGTTGTTGGACTCCCGAGAAAAGGGCTGGGGCATCTAACCCATCTCTTCTTTTATTTCCTGAACCTGGCTTCAAGTTACCTTTTCTCTCCTAGGCTCCGGGACGGGCCCTTTACCTCCTGTGGGTGAATGTGCTGGGCCCCTGGTTCACGGCAGACAGTGGTGCCCCAGCGCCGGAGCACAATGAGAAAAGGCAGCGCCGGCAGGAACGGCGGCAGATGAAGCGATTATAGCCGCTGACATTGTGACTGCTGGTTGCTGGTTGCTGGGTGGCTCTTCTCAGGCTGCATGGCCCCATGCTAGGAGTAACGAGGGCCTAGTCCAGGGGCCCAAAGCAGTGTAAGGCATAGGATTGTTGAATAAATGGCTTCGAATGTGGCTAATGGCTGTGTGATGATGAGGCCTGAGGCAGGAAGAACCAATACTTTGATATTTCCCTACTGCTGTAGACCTTGAAAGCGTGGTCTATACCTTGAAAGAAAAAGGCTCTTGGGTTGGCTAAGAAAACTTTATTATGCTCCACATGTTCTGGGAGATCATACACACACACACACACACACATACACACACACACAGACACACAAACACGGATAATACTGCTCAAGGCACTGGCCACTGGGTACAGAGTGACCTCAGGGTTGAGAAGATGTCCAGACTTCTGCTCTGGCCCCTCCTCATTTTATATAGTCTTTTGCAAGCAAGCTGTGGCCCAGGGAGATACCCTGGAGGCAGCGGCTTCACACCTCCAGCCCAGGTCCCTTGCTCAGTCCCAGTGCCTGCACCAGGTCTTCTCCAAGTCCGCTCTTCAATGTCCGCCTCACTGCAGGGACAGAGCAGGGTTGGAGGGGGTTGATTGCTGGGGACAAAGTGGGCAGTGGGTATGTGGGGAGTACTCACAAGATTTGCGGTTGCCACGGGAACGCTTGCGTTCCCGAGCAGCCAAGGCACGAGGATTGCTCTTGGTCACTGACTGCACCAGCAGGTCCATGATCTCATCTGAAGTGTCACTGGGTGAACCGGAGCCTGGGGATTCTTCTGGGGGTGCATTGGAGGCCCTCACTGCTGTGGGCACTGGGGAGCTGCTCTGGACCAGGCCTAAGGGAGGCCAGAGAGGGATGTCAGGCCGAGGTGGCCCCAAAGCAAAACCCGTTCCCCCTGGCGGCCACAGGTCCCACCTCTGCTGCGGCGGCTGTGTGTGGTATCTTCAGGCTTACTGGTCAGCAGACTCTTCATGCTGGCGTGACTGTCTGCATCCCCCTGGCCCGGCCCACTGCCCACAGCCACTGGGACAGACAGGTTGCTGGGGGCTTCCCCAGCCACTCCTGAGAACTTCTCTGTCTGGAGAGGGGAGAACGATGAGCTGGGAGCCAGGGGAGGAAACCATGGGAGTGGCAGTCCAGACCTGGAAGGGGCACGCACCTCGGTGATCATGCGTCCCCGGGTCTTGTTGCGCTCACGGTATGTGGCCCGCTTCTGCTGCTGTTGGAGCACCCGATCTCGGCAAGTCCGGTACTCCAGCGAAAACTCCCGCAGCGTGTGGCAGAACTGCATGATGCGTACTTCCCGGGCTGCCTGTGCGCTGTACCCCAGGTACAGCAGGAAGGCGTGGAACCTAGGCAGGTCAGGATAGGAAGGGATGGTGAGTCCTCCTTGGGGGCGAGGGACAGGGTGGCGGTCCCGCCTCAGGCCCACAATCCCACCTGTTGCAGACACGGCGGTGCACCACTCGCAGCATGTTAACGCGTCGGGAACAGTGGGCCAGGAAGTGGGTGAGGCGGGCACGCAGGGCTGGAGCCAGCTCGTGCTTAGCCAAGCTCCGCAGACTCTCCTCAGCTGCACGGCTCCGATGCTCTAGCTGCCCCAGGTTCTCAGCCAGCTGTTCAAAGTCCACCTGGAAAAGCAGGGGGGTACACAGGCTGACCCCACCCAAGAAGGTACTGGCCTGAGGCTGCCTCTGTGCCAGGCTGGTGAGCCAGGCCAGAGGAACACAGATGAGATCCAACCTTGGCCCTCCAAAAGTTCATGGTCTACCACAGGACACAGACAACTTCATTTGGTCCAATGGGGAACAGAGAAGGTTTCTTGGGGAAGCGGCAGTTAAACTGAGACCCAAAGACTGAGCAGGTGTAGCCAGGCCAATAGAGGGAAGCATTTCTGGCACAAACATCTGTAGCCGAGCCAGCCTTGGCACAGCCGTTGAAATAGGAGGGGAGAAGCCAGCCCCAGGAAGCAGCACTCCCTCATGCCCTGGCCAGTTTTATTCAAGCCCCTGCTGGTGCTGACCTTGGCACAGCGGGTCAGGGCGGGGATTTCCGAGTAGAGGTCGGAGGAATCGGGCCGCATCTGGAGCACCAAGGAGCAGAGATGGTGCAGCAGCGACTGCCTGCGCACCGTGTCCTTCACCTCTGACACCTTCTCCAGGTAGCTCAGCTCAAAGCCACTGCTCTGAAAGGACTTTGTCTGAGCCCGGGCCTGGAGGGTTCCAGAGCCCGGCCCCCAGCCCTTGTGTGCTGTCACTCACCTGGGAGCCATTGAGGAAGTTGCCCACAGCCAGAAGGGTGGCCAGGATGCAGCGGAAGGTGGCATTATGCACCAGCTGCTCCATGCCCACCTTCAGGTCAAACAGTGGCTCTGCGATTTCCTGGTGGGGGGAGACCAGGGGACTCAGATTATATGGTCATCATACTCATCTGCCCCCACTGCCTGTCCCACCCATGACCCCAGGTACCCGTTCCATGCTGTCATAGTCCAGCTTGAAGGCCCAGAGTTGTAGGCGGGCAGCCAGGCCCCCGATGGAGGCAAGAGTCATCAGGAAGGTTTCAGCTGGGCCCAAAGGTATGTCAGGATTGGCCAGCTGGGCCTCCTCGATCTTCTGCCGCTCTTCTTCCGTGGGCATCATGGTCAGTAGTTTCTAAGGACACAACCACCACCCCACACGGGCCAGTAAGTGCTGGCCTTGGTCTTGACTCCCCCTAGGCTACCTGGGGGAAATCTGGGGGAGCCCCAGGGTCTGGAGACTGCTATGCCAAGCCCATACCCACTGACCAAAGGAGAGGGCTGGACCTCCCACTCATTTCCACACCCCCAGCTGGCTATCCCTACCTCAATGCCATCCTTGCTGACAGCAAACTCATCGAAGTTGACCAGGGCAGCCTTAATGACATGCACAGGCGGCAGGGTGGTTAGACCAATGTTGATGGCGTTGCTGCGCTTGGGGTCCAGCACGACGGTCATTGTCCGGCGCCCCTCACCAGCTTTCTTTGAGGTTGAGGGAAGGAGAGTGTAAGTTTGGGAAAGGGACTAGCTGGGGCAACAACCTAAGAGGACACTTCAAGACGCCCCTCCAAATGGTGGGGTCACCCCATAACTGGGGATGGACCTGGGATGTTTAAAGCCTTGAGATGAGCTTAGGTGCCAGTTAGGGCTCTGCTGATCCCTGTGGAGACCTCAGACAAGTCCCCGCTCCTCTCTCTGCCTCGCTTTCCCCACCTGGGAAATGAGCGGCAGCCCCAGTAGTTAGGACCTTTGAGCTTTGATTCCTTTCCTTGTCCGCTGGGGTTACCTTACAGTTGAGGGTGCGTTTACCTTGGAAGGTAACACGTCCTTGGCACGGGACTCAAACAGGTGTTCCAGCCGGGCTGTGTCCACAGAGACGGGCTCCAGGGAGGCCCACAGGGTGGAGCAGGGCCCAAAGCGGCTCCCAGCGCTCCCATGGCCCCCGGCCAGCTTTAGCTCCCGCCAGAAGAGTTTGACTGTCTTCCTCTTGGTGGGGAGGGCTAGGCCGTCAGGTGCTGATGGGGGTAGAGGGGCAACTGGCGGTGGAGGTGGTGGGAAGGGGCCTTTGAGGGGTGGTGGTGGTGGGGGTGGTGGAGGTGGGGGGCCTTCAGAGAGCAAGGGAAGTGGGGGTGGTGGGGGTGGGACCCCTTTCCCAGCCTCCACAGTCTCTGTGTTCAGTATGTCCTGGTCTTCGTCCTCCCTCAGATCTGAGAAGTCCAGGTCCCCAATGCAGAGCCTGGGTACATGGATAGGGAACTCCTGGGTGGGCTCAGCCTTGGGGCTTGGTGGGGCCAATGGCTCCTTGGGCTCTGGTTCAAGGCTCCTCTGGGACCTGAGCAGGACTCGGGGGGCAGGGCTCTGGGGTGTTCTGGGTGCAGAAATCAGGACTGGTTCAGGGGTACTCCACAGTTCCCGGGCATCTAAAAACAGAGAAGCAGCTGCCAGCGTCATGCCCTCTGTGGAGCAACAAGGAGGCATGGGTAGATTCTGCCCACCCACCCACTCACCTGGGTGTCCATCAGCCTCATCGGGCACTGCCCCAGCCAATGTCTCTGCCCGGCCCTGGGCCAGCGCAGCCTGCTTCTCTGTTTCTGCTGCTGCCACATTCTCCAGGAACCGGGCTCTGGGGGGAGGCACATGTCAGCGAGGGTGTCTGGCACACCCCAGCCCAGGGTGGCGCACATGCTGGTCCCCTGGGCACTGCCCCTAATTGCAGGCTCACACAGACACACAGGAACAGACCATGCGCCGAGCAGACCCAGGATCCGACCCCCCAAGTCCAGCCCCTGTTCAATCCTCCACATCTGGGGTGGGTCACTTCCAACCCAGCATTCCTAGGTCAACAGAAGTTCTACTTAATGTCTAACTTGCAACCTTGCTATTCATGTTAATTGTCCTGATTCTAGACAAGGGCTTTTAGAGCAGGGGAAGGGGATGGCTGTGCCAATGGGCACATCCCTCCCTTGGCATTTCTGCAGCTTCTGAGAACTCTGACCTATGCCCAGAAAGGGGCCCGGTAGAGACAGGCGCTCAGTTTATGCTGAAATAACGAGTGATCCAATGGGCACTCCTTCTGGGTCCCTCTAGCCTCCATTGGCCCTCAGTCCCGGCCCTTACCTTAGCCTTAGGTTGTTCCTCTACCTCCACACTCACAGCACCCTAATTCCCCTCCCTGCCCTCCTCCTGGCCTCTGCCTGGGAGAATGGGCTCCAGGTTGGGAGTCCACGTCCTCAAGTCTCTGGTCAAAGCGATCAAGGTATCATCATGGAAGCGCAGGGACCACATGACCTCAGGGAACCAATCCCAAATGCTTAGTCCTTAGGTGACCGAGGAGGCAGAAGTCTGGGAGAGAAGGGGCCCGAGAGTCCCCAAGCTCTGGCTGCAGCACGCAAGTGGAACCCCCCTGGAGAAGCAATGCCGAAGCCCTGAGCACATGGCAGGCCTGGCAGGCTGGCCTCTGTACTTACGCCAGCCTGGCCTGCCCAGTGGGGGGCTGGGGGACAGGTGGGCTCTCAGGGGCACTGGGAGGAGGGAGTGGGGAGGATGAGAGAAGAAATAGTAATTGTGGGGTCTGCTCCACCAGGAAGCCCAGTTGCTCACACCTACACAGACCTGGGCAATGCTATCAGGGATTCCTCCCCAGCCACCGTGGGAAGAGGAGGAGGGAGTTGGGGAAGACATGATCAGGGAAAACTAAGTGGAGGGGAGAGACGGACTCGAAGCCGGACAGGGTGCAGTAAGAGACAAAGACCGAGCAGAACAAGAGTCAGAGACAGTGCCGGAGAGACAAGGACCATAGGGGGCAGGGAGACAGATGACATTGGCCGAGAACAGATGTAATGCCAGAAGGAGATGAAGAGAAGCTTCAGGGGGAGGAGGTCGGTCAGAGCCGAACCCCACCCCCCAGCAGTCACTTACCAAATAGGAGCAGTTTGGTGAAGTCTGGAAAGAAAGAGAGAGAAAGCACGCGTTTGGGCAGAGGAGGCTGAGGGTCCATGGAGGGGAGCAGAGCAGAGGGACAGGTGGGGAGAGGATTCTGGGAGCGGGGGAATTGGGGGGGGGGGGGGGTAACCTCTATCTCCCTACTTACTTGTAGATGCTCCTTTCATTGTCAGCTGAGGATGCCACGGAGAGGGCAGGAAAGAGGTTCACAGAGGTACAGAGGCCAGAGGCAGGGCCCATGGGGCTGGGCACTGGGCTTGTGAGTGGGTCAGGGCCGGAGGAGGAGGAGGAGGAGGAGGAGGAGGAAGAAAAGGAGGAGGCGGGGCCTGTGGGGCTGGAGGCAAGGTCTGTCAGGAGACTGGATACTCCTGGTGCATCCATTCCTCCTCCCCGAGTGCTGAGGCACTGTTCTTACCCTGACTCCGGGGTGCGCGCGTGGCAGCCCCCGCCTTCTAGAGACCGGCGGCTCCTCTTGCCTTCCTCTGAAGAGGGCTTCCTGCGCTCCCGCCGCCCTCCAGCGGCAGCTTCCTCCATGTCTCCATCCTCCATCCGCAGGGCACTCTAGCAGACATGGATCCCAGTGTGAGCCACTGAGGTAGGGCGGGCGCTGGGAAACGGTGCCCCTTCCCTCCCCTCTTCTGTTGGGCCCTGGCAGCCCAGCCCAGAGCCCACCTCATAGAGCACAAGCTGTGCCCGTAAGTCGATGTCAGTGCCCGCAGCGCCCAAGTGCCGCTGGACCAGCGCCTCCATTCCCTGCTGCTCCAGTGCATCCGTCACGTCGTAGAAGGAGTCCTGATCTGGGAGCGCTGCCAGCGTCTGCAGGGCGGGAGGGGGGTGGTAAGAGGGCAAGGCGAAGGCTTTGGGGGCCTGAAGGCAGGAGCCTGAGGGGCTCATCCCCGGCGTTGGGTTCCCCCTCCACACGCACCTTGTTGATGAGGGTGACTGTGTACACCAACAGCTCAGGGTCTGCCCCGTTCTTCTCCTCTAGGATGGACACCAGGTTGGCCCACGGCAGGGCACCTGCCGCACAGAATGGGGAGCCGTCATGGGGAGAAAGGTAGGCGAAGGCTCTGAGGGGCGGGAGAGGGAGGGACAGCCTCTGACCGGTCGTGCTGGCCACACAGTTAACTGCGTAGATGAACAGCGGTGCGTTGCTCTCAGAGTATTCCACAAACACCAGCAGCAGCTTCAGAGCTGTCTTCACCACCAGGCGGGACTAGGGGAGGGATCACCACATATGAGTGGGGCGTGGGCCAGAGCCGGGCCAGCTCCTGGTGCAGTGGGGGAAGGGCTGCTGGGGCGGGACCCAGACAGGAGAGTCTCAACAAAAAGAGCCTGGTTGTAGGCCCAGGCATTGAAGTGCTTTTAGGCTTAGAGGGGGCCACAGACTCACTCCACTCTAGCCCATCTTACAGGAGAGGAAACTGAGGCCCAGAGGGAGGCAGTGGGAAAAGGGTGCATGGCTGGGGGGAGGGCCATTTACCATGCTGGCACACAACATGTACAGCCACTGCACGGTCTCAGTGTGGGCCACCACTCCCAGCATCCCATCCACAAAAAGCATCACCTGGCCCAGTGCTGAGGACACAGAAACAAGAAGAGGTCAGTAAGGGGTCATTGAAGGCATGGGTCCTGGGGGAGGAGCGGGGCTGACCTCGGAGGATGTAGCTCTGGTAGTTGTGGTCGGCAGCAGCACCCACACGGATCAGGCAACTCAGCCCCTCTGAGTGCACAAATTCAGGCACCAGGTCCTTGTCCTCCTGGGGGCACCATGGGGGATTTTAGGGGGGGAGCTGAGGCTGGGATGCCCACCCCCAGCCCACGTCTGGGCCTCACCTGGAAGATCTGCTTTAGTGAGAAGAGAGAGCGGCGGAGCTCAGGGCCACTGGAGCCATACAATTTTTCTGCAAGGGGTGGATGGACATTGTAACCTCAAGGGGACATAGGCAACCTCAAAGAATATTCTAGTATTCTTTTTTTTTTTTTTTTTTTTTAAGGTTTTACTTTCACTTAAAAAATATTTCTTTATTGATTTCAGAGAGAAAGGGAGAAATAGAAACATCAATGATGAGAGAATCATTGGTAGGCTGCCTCCTGAACGCCCCCCACTGGGGATCGAACCCACAACCCGGGCATATGCTCTTGGCTGGAATTGAACCTGAGACCCTTCAGTCCGCAGGCTGATGCTCTATCCACTGAGCCAAACCAGCTGGGGCTATTCTAGTATTCTTGACCACCCCCCCCCCCCACACCTCCTCCTCTACTTACTCCCTGGCTCTGGGCAGCCCCCACTACAGTCTAGCTGCAGCACTGGCCTTGGCCCTAGAAGGAAAGGTCAGACTAGGAATGGGGAGGGGCCACATATTCTGTCTCTGATCTGTCCTGTCCACTGTCCAGCACATGCCTGAAAGAAACTGAGCCACTGGGCTGGACACTGATGCCCTCACACACTCACCTAAGATGGCATTGACCCTCATGGAGAGCTGGGTCCGCAGGATCAATGTAGGCTTCCGCCCTTTGCTGGAATCAAGCAGCTTAGTCAGCACCTCCCAGCTCATTCTGCAGGGTCCCTTCCCCCACACCAAGGCAGCCAAAGACCTCCCCACATGCCAACTCGGGCCCCGCTCCTTCCTCCCCAACTGCTCCTCCAAGCCCAGGGGTTGGCCAGACAGAAGGATTAATGCAAATACAAGTATCTCAGGTATGTGGGAGAGCCCCCACTCCATCTTGGGTAGCAGGTAACACTGGCCAGGCCTTGGGATTCCCCTGGCACAGTTCCCTGGGGCAGCAGGAGGTGACCTGCATGTGTCCTTGGCTAGAGAGCAGGTGTCTTGGCTGCTGACACCTGAGCCAGCCTGGGGGTGGGGGGGCAGGCAAGGTTGTGACCAGCCTTATCTTCCTGGTCTCACCAGCTCTGACCTGATCTCTTCATAGAAGCCCTCCAGCATTTCCCGCTGCTCTTCCAGGGACAGCTCAGGGTCCAGGTAGTATCCAGAGGGAGACACTTGCAGGGCACAGTCCTCTAGCTGGGGGCAAAGAGAACAGCTGTCAGGGATGGGGATGAGGTGGCAGGGGTAGACCTCATGACCTCCTACCTCCTACTCAGGGTGCTGGCCGAGAGGCACACCACAAGGTCTGCACCGTAGCCAAGCATTCCTTTAGTAATCCTTCATGTGCCTACTATGTGCAAAGCCTTTGTATGTACTATGTCTACTGGGTAACACCCATTCTTTTTTTTTATTTTTATATTTTATTGATTTTCCACAGAGAGGAAAGAGTGAGGAAGAGAGAGTTAGAAACATTGATGACAAAGAAACAACAACCAGCTGCCTCCTGCACCCCCCCCACTGGGGATGTGCCCACAACCATGGTACATGCCCTTGACCTGAGTTGAACCTGGGACCCTTGAGTCTGCAGGCTGACGCTCTATCCACTGAGCCAAACTGGTTTCAGTTTTATCCATTCTTTAGGTTTCAGATTACATTTTTTTTTTTAAAGACTTCCTGGACTCTTTTGCTATGTAACCCACTCCATGCCATGTGTGTACCCTACTCTGAGGCCTTCCCCAGGGCAGCATAATATCCTAGACACCAGTCTTCTTCCCCTTTATCTGTGTGTTCTCTGGGCCCGGGCACCATGTCAGTCCTGTTGCATGCTATATCTGCAGAGCCTAGCATAGCATTTGGCACGTTGTAAGTTCTCTCTAAACATGTATTGAGTTAATGAACATAAATGAGGAAGGAGAATGGAGAAGATGGAAGGAAGTTCCTGCCTTCGAGGAAGTTCACAGCCCTGTGGGGTAATAAGCTGTAGTCACAAGCATTCAAGCCCTGGGAGAAAGTGTTAGGGAAAAAAAACAACGCTGGTGTTATTAGTGGAAGTGGGGTATCCACTGGTGAAAGTGGGGGATCCCTTTACCCACTGGGTGTTGGGGGTCAGGTTCTTAACAATATTTTGAGAAAAAGAATTTTCTAAGATTTGCATGGGAGAATGAGTGATTTTTTATTTGCATGGGTTTCAAAAGTCCCATCTCCCTTAAACTAGTCCAGGAAAAGGTGCAGCTGGGGATTCAGTAGAGCCAAAAGCAAAGCCAGCGTCCACAGTTTCCGTCCCTCGGTGGAGTTAAGTCCGGCATAGCATTAGGCTAGTCACAGTACATTAGTCCATTGTGTGGGGTCCACATGGCTGTGGGCCATGTGGATGAATATTGGGAAGTGTGCCCCTGAAACAAGTGGACCAGGAGCCCAGGAAGCAAGAGAGGGAGCCTGTTTGTTTAGGAGCTTATTTATGTATCTCAGATTTTGCGCCTTTGCAGTGGCCACGCCTCTTCCGGCCAATGACCTGGTTCCTGGGTGTGACTGACAGATAATCACCTTTCCTACGTCACACAGACCTCACTGGGCTGCCTGAATATCCCGCCTTCCCTTTGTTCGTTCTTTTCCAGTTAATTAATGATCAGGTGGGTTCAATATAACGATATCGCTGGGAGGTGCAAACCCAGCTGGGAGGTGTGTGTGTGTCCCTGAATGAAGACGGTGAGCAGCAGGGGCTAATCCACAGGCTCCCAGTCCCTCCAGGCCTGAGGGTCTTTGCCATGTCAAGTGGGCTGTAGTGACCTCAGAGGCCTCCAAGGGGCCTATTGAAAACCAGATTTTAGGGTCTGACTCAGTCCGTCTATAGTGGGTCCCTGAAACCTGCATCCTAACAAGAAGGCACATGCTTCCCGTGCCTCTCTCCCCACTGAGCCTGGCTCTGCTCCACTACTGGGCAGGACGCTCGGCTCCTTGAGAAGTACTCGCAGAAAGGCCTACTAAGGAGACTGGAGAGGCGGATGGCAGCACTGTGCCTCTCTGGGCACCTTCCCCGCAGCAAATGCCCCTTGACTTGAGTGGCTCTCCTCTTTGAGGTGCTCTGACCCAGAGAGAGCCCCCTCTGCAGAATCAGGGTGCCTGTGGTCTCCATCTTACTGGGACTAAAAGTCCTGTTGTTCTGCCAGTCCTGCCTTGCTCTGGACCGAGCCCAAGGACTTCCAGCTGCCCTTGGTCCCCTGAGGGGAAAGGGAGCCCAGCTCCTGCCCCCCCCCCCCCCCTCTGCCTCTGCATAGCATCCCTGCTGCGCCGGAGAGCCTGCCCCAGCTCCTTCCTGGCTGTTCAGGCCCTTCCTGTGAGGCCCTTGGGTGACCACCTCCCCCCCTGACTGGGACATGGGACATAGAACAAATACTGCAGTCTGTTCTGTCCCACTTCCTGCCTGGCTGCCTGCCCTCCCCTGGGCGCCTGGGGCGGGCCTGGCCTCTCTCCTCTCCGTAGGAGCAGAGTCATCTTCTCCACGGCCCACTGGGAATAGGCCTGAGATGGGAGATGGTAAGGCCCCCGGGCTGGGGTACGTGGTCCGAGGCCAGCTCAGCGGAGGGCATCCCCACATTCCTCCCGATCCCTCTTCCCACAGATGACTCAGCAGCCTACCCTCCCCACCCCCATCCAGGCACAGCTGCAACCTCCTCGGGGATCCCCCAAATCACACACCTATAGAACAAGCTCATCCAAATATTCATGAACTAGGCTGGTTTTGGGTTCTGAGGACAGAGCAGAGAACAAGACTCTGCCTCTGCTGTCCCTGCTTTCCAGCTAGTCCTGGAGGCAGGCAGGCTTGACTCAGAGGCACAATGGCCAAGGGTGCCACGCAAGGAGAGAGGTGGAGTTATATAAAGACAAACACTGGAAGGGTGATTGAAAATATGCAGTAACTGCTTACAAACCCAGGTAGGTATATATATATGGTCAGGTGTATACAAGGTGTCCCCCCCAAAATGTATACACACTTGGTATAATTATAAAGGCAGTGTTTATTAACATACATTTTACTTTCAAAATATAATAGAAATTAGCTGTTAAAAGTGTATATGCAACCTAACTGGTTTGGCTCAGTGGATAGAGCGTCGGCCTGCAGACTCAAGGGTTCCCAGGTTCGATTCCAGTCAAGGGCATGTACCTTGGTTGCAGGCACATCCCCAGTAGGGACTGTGCAGGAGGCAGCTGATTGATGTTTCTCTCTCATTGATGTTTCTAACTCTCTCTCCCTCTCCCTTCCTCTCTGTAAAAAAAAGTAATAAAAAACGTGCGTATACATTTTTTTGGGACACCTGTATAGGTATATATATATATATGCTCACTAGTCAGGCACAGGCCCAAGAAGCACACCCACGGAAAGCTGGGGCCCAGCACGCTTTCTTCCTCTCTTGCATGCATACTTGCACGCTCTAGTCTCAAGTGTGCAGGGTCCCTGGGATGCCTGTATCCCTGTGGGGCAGGGGGTCCTCAAGACTAAGTGCTTACCACCCTCAGCCTCCTCAGATGAGCAGGTTAAATCCTGGTGGTTAGTGGCTTCCCTAACCATGTCACCTGTCTAATCCTGCCAGTCCTCCATTTATGGAGAGGAGGCTCACGGGTAGTTGGCAACCCAAAGCCTATAGGACAATGCCCCGCTCCTCCAGCTGTTTGTCTTGGATGGAGATGGGGGAAGGGGTTAGGGTTAGGCAAGCAGCAAAGAGCAGAAACTTCCTGCCAGCTGCATGGTGCTTGTCCCTCACACCCCTGGCCCCTTCCTGGGGTCACCCTTCGGAGAGCCAAACCTCTGGGCTTTGTTTCTCACACCCTGGGGCTGGGCCAGGCCTGAGTATGCCCAAACCCTGGTCCCTGCTGACAGTGCTTAGGGTCAGCACATGGTCAGTGTAGGTCTACATCCATGACTCCCTCCTGGCTCTTGTCTTCCACACTTGTCTGCTGTCCGTCTTGGGGTGGTGTCCCTCCCCCATTCTTCCCAAGTCCCTCGTTTCAACCTCCAGACAATGCTTCTTTGGATTATCTGGTCTCAGGTTTCTCTGGCAGCCCTAACTAACTTGTTACATATGATTTTACATGCAGGGCCAAGCTTAGGGGACCCTGGTGTCTACTCCCTGGTATTTTTCATAGTGTAATCAGGTGAGAGTGAGCATGCCAGGGGCAGGGTACAAAGTAGATGGAGAAGAGCACAGAATTATATGCTGGTGGATTCTTGTTTTTTAGGAAATATATTTTTTTCCCCTTTTCCTGTAAACACAAGACCCTGTGCTCTATGAGCCTCTTTTCTGGTTATCTCATATCTCCAAGGAGACTATGACTTCCTGATTGAGATAACATGGATGGGCTGTGAGGAGGGAAGCCCACTTGTTTTGGCTCCTCTGTATAATACACTGGGCTGCCTGGTTTGATTCTGACAATCCTTTGACAGGTGAGGAGACCAAGAAATTCAGCGAATATGCACCTGCCGCATAACCAGGAATGGGCCTACTTGACCTAGATCTTAATTACGCAGAAGTTCATTGGAAGTGCTCCAGGGAATCCTGAGGGGAGGTGGAATGAGGGTTGGGGCCTGTAGGGTTGCCAAGTGCTGAAGACAGCCTCTCAGCTGTCTGGACTCTACAAATACCCCAAACTGGTCCTCCCAGTTCCAGCAAGGGAATGCTAACGAATACACACACACACACACACACACACACACACACACACACACACCATACATGTTGGGGTAAATAGTGCCTACTTTTGCCAGGATCTAAGTCTGAGTCCTTCACCAGGTTACTTAGCCCAGAATGAGCAGTTAAGTGGACACGCCAGCCGTAGGGACAGTGGGGAGGCCATGACTCATGCCCATATCCCGATCTTCTACAATCTCCCAAAGAAACCTCTCTATCAGAGGGCTAAAGTTCTCAGTTCATCACCAGAGCACCCCTTCTTACCCTTAAGAATCCTCTGGGACCCCTCCCATCGGTCCCTGTCCCAGTATGTCAGTTTAACACTTAGCCTCCTTGTCACAACTGCTTCTGAAGGGTAGACTGAGGCTGGGGCAAGGAGGGGGCAAGGTCAGGACACATTCTAGGATAGTGCCACCCTATCCTACTGTAATCTTTGGCCACAGCTGGGGACACAAAGTTGCTGATAATGGACAGATTTCTAGGAATAAGGGGTCCCTCTAGCTTTTGCATCAGAGTCAGAGCAATACCCAGGCCTCTCTGCTCAGAACCCAGGGAGAAGTCAGTGCTGGCAGGGCCTTTGGGTGTAAGGGAGGAGCTCCTGAGGCACCACCCCAAGAGCAAAGGTAGTAGAGGGAGGATAAGGAGGTGAGTGGCAGTGCCAGAGGGCAGGTTGCCCCTGAGACAGGGGCAGGCTCCTGGAATTGGAGAGGTTCTAGCCGTAGAAGGAAGATAGATATTCCCGAGTTTCCCTGGAGACATGAGGCATGGCCCAAGGCACTGCCAGGACCCTGCCTCACCCCCCTTAGGGCCAGGAGATGAGTCAGAGGCTGTGGCCAGGAGCTTCCTCCTAGACGGAAAGGAAATGAGCAAGGCCCTCTGTGGTGTGAGAGCTCCAAGTCTTTTAAAAAGGAAGAAGCCCTAAGGGAACTCACAGAGGCTAAGCCTCGCCCCAGAGAGAAAGTGGGCTGGGTCTCTCTGTACATCCCCAGAAAACGGACAGGGTCTGCAGGGATGATGTGGATCGGTGCCCAGACTGCAGGGCAGACTTGGCTATGTCCTATTCCTTTGCTGGACAACTGTACAGAGGATGAAGCAGAGAGTACAAAACCCCTCCCTCATTTCTGCTGCGCAGCCCTGCACAGAGATGCATTCATTTCTGGGTCACCTCTCCCCTCTAGAGACTATCGAGGCAGGCCTGAGTCATATCTGTGCCCCTGGGGCACCCACTTATAGGACATGGGGAGGAACCAGTTGTTGACATTTCTTGGGGGAAAAAAGGGCCCTGCTCCCCCCCTCGAAGATCGCTGATGGCCCTGACCCTACCCTATTCTGAGCCCTTCTTCCTCCAGCCTTCTATTCTGGGGCTGTGGTCACAGTTTATATTTGGGATGAGCACATCACAGTGCATCTGACCATTGCTGGCAGAGCTGGCAGCCCCAGGGAGTCCTGCTCTAGGCACTGTGGTAACCCAATGTGACCAGCCCCATATCCTGCCTGCCTGTGGGGGAAATGGCAGCCCCTCAAGTACACCAGGTGGGAGGTCCTGAAAGTGAGGGAACTAGGAAGGACTATGTTGGCAGAGATGTCACATTCTTGGAGTTCAGTAGTGTTCTCTGCTCCCTAGCAGAGGGCAGAGCGAGGGCAAATCTGCCCCTCGCTGGAAAGTCCTGCCCTAGAGTAGGGGTAGTGGTGGGGGATGGAATACTGTGTTCTCTGTGGAGCTCCAGGCTCATTTCGGCACCAGGAGCTTCAGGAACCTGGACTCAATTCAGCACCCCTCTCTCCCTAGCGCCCACGCTGACCAGGAGGTGGCCTTCACCCCGCGGACACGTTTCTTCCAGGCCCACCTGTTTGCCCCTTTCACCAGAGCAGGGCGAGGGTGGAGAGGGGGGTAGATGTTGCATCAAAACTCTGGAATGGGCAGCGTGCTGACACTTTCAAGTCAGGGCCTTGAATACCGGGCTTTGCAGGGACACGTGCCATTCCCCAGGCCAATAGTCCCACCACCTCTCCCGCCCATTCTCGGAGGCGGGGCTGGCCCGCAGCGCGAGGAATGCAGGCTGGGGGCCTGGCGCCAGGGGGCACATTCCAAGGGAGACCCCGAGCCTGGGGGGCAAGTTTGCGCAATTCTGCAACCCAGCTAAGGCTGGGAGCAGGGGATTGCACCACCACCAACTCTCTCTCCTTTTCCGCACCGCTCCGTGTGGACTGGCTGGTGGGGGTGGTAGTGGCCTCCCAAAGTCCTGGCCCGGAAACCCAGCGCGCCGGAAAGGGCTGCCTGCGGGGGGCTGAGCGCGGCGAGCCGGAGAGGAGAGAGGGCCCGCCATCTGGAAAAGGGCCTTCCCCGGTATTGTGCGCAGAGTCGGTTCCGGGGCGCAAGCAAACGAGGGCAGGCCGGCGGTTTAAAATTAGCCCGGCCCGCCCCCTCCCTCCCAGCTGCTGGCCCGCGGCGGCGCGAGTGCGGGGTGGCGGGCGGTGACTCAAAGGGCTTTTCCATTAGCGGAGCCTCCCGCGCCGGGCTAGTCCCGGGCTGGGCTGGGCTGCTTCTGGAGGACTCCCCTCAACCCGTTAAGTTTCTTCTTCTCCCAAGCCATCTCCCCACCCCCACCTGCAGGGGCAACACTCTACCCAGCAGGATCCAATCCAACCTCCAGGAACCGCTGGAAGCCCTGGCCACCTACCGTGGCCCGCCCCTCCTCGTCTCATCGTTCCGCCCCCGCTTCAGGTGAGGTGAAGGCTGGTCCACACCCCCCAGCTCCGCCTCCTGGATCCGCTGCCACTCATATATCTACCGTCACCCAATCCAGAGCAGTTACCCAGGCAAAGAGGCAGCTCGTCATACCCCCTCCCCTCGACCACCTCCCCAGAGGGGCCTCACTTTTAGGGGCAGCCAGGGTGGCGCAAACCACAAGCTCCCATCTCCCTTCTTCAGTTTTCCCCTCCGTTTCGAAGACGTTCCCGCAAGCAGGGCTGCGAGGACCTTGGGTACCCACAGAGGAGCGTCGTACCCACTCCAGCCTCTCCCCGAGGGGCACCTCCCAAAGACTTTCATGGCACCAAACCCTGAACCCTCGATCGCCCCCATACTGTTTTTCCCCGGCGCCCCTCACCTTGAGCGGCGCCCCCAGCAAGCGGTGCAGCGCGGGTATCTGTGCGCCCAGGGGCAGCGCCCCGTCCAGGCTGCAGGTGGGGGCCCGGCGCGGCTCCGGGAAGTTGGCACATGCAAAGGGGTCGGTGTCCTCCAGGTACTGCACCCGCACGGTCACCACGGACACCGGCTCCCCGTGTTCGCGGTCTTCCCCGCCAGCCATGGCTCTGCCACTGGCTCGCACCGCGCGTCTCGGGCCAGGCAGGTCCCGGTCCCGCCGCGACAACTCAACTGGATTTGGGAGGGGCCGGACCGGACGCTGCTCAAGAGGGGGCGGGACCACCGGGAGGCGTGGCCAAGGAAGGGGGTGGAGTCAAGATTCGTTCCGGAAAGCGCAGGGGGAGGGGCAACCGCTGCCGGGGGCGGGGCTTGCGGCGAGCCACTCAGAGACCGCGATCTTAGTCCCGTTAGTTCTCCGGCGAGGCGGGCGGGAAAGCCCCAGCTCGCGCCCCGCCTCCGAGAGCGCGCGGGGCGCCGGAAGGCTTTCTCTGGGCGGGGAGCAGCGAGGCTGCGCCCCTTTGAGGGGTGGGGAGGGCAGGTGGGCGGAAATTTCCTCAGACGGTGGCTAGCTAGCCTAGTCTCCCTCAGTTTAGAGAGGAAATGGTCCTGGGACTCCTTTAGTTTGGGGAGTGGATGGGATCCTCTCATTTGGGGAAGCAGGGCGATGAGATGGATCTCTTTCAGTTTGGAGCAAGAAGAGAAAATAAATTCCGCTCCGTTTGAAGGAAGAAGTGGGATGGAACCTTTTCCTTTACTTGGGGGGAGAAGAGGGAGCGGTGCTCTCCAGTTCCGGGGAAAGGATGGGGTGACACAGTTTGAGGAGGGGAGGGGGTTTGAACATGTTTCCCTCAGTTTTGGAGAAGAAGTGGGATGGGCGCCCCTCAGCTTGAATGAGAAGGGGGAGACGGTCCTCCTCAGTTTGGGACGCGATGAGCCCAGTGCCCCTCAGATTTGGGGGAAACGTTGGGTGGATCCCTCTTAAGTTTGAGGGGAATTGGTAGTCTGTGCTTTCCATAGTTTTAGGGGAAGAAGATGTGTCCTCTTGTTTCATGGAAAAGGTGAGAGCTCAGAGCTCCCTATAAGTTGGAAGGAAACGAAGAGGAACGGTGCCCCTCGGTTTGGGAGGTGAGGGGAATGGCCTCCTCCTCAGCCTGGAATGAGCGGGGCCCGGTCTGGGCCTCGGGTTTTCCGGGGACGATGGGGACAGCGCTGTCCATCACGGCTTTCTGGGAGCGCGCAGTGCGCGTGCGCAGCTCTGGTCCGGTCTGGGGCCCAAAGGGGGTCCCGGGGCGGCCGTGGCCTTGGCACCAGCGGCCAGCTGCTCGGCGCCGGGTGGCACTCGCCTTGGAGACCCGCCCTTTTGCCTGGCTCTCGTCCTTCCTCCCCCCTCCCCCGGCCCTACCGCGGCGGACTGCCACCTCCCGTGGGTGGGACGAGCAGGTGACTCGGGAGTGCTGTGGTCGCTCCCAGCGCGAACCCGAGCCGGGGAAGGTTTTGGGGAGGCGGGAGGAGAGGAATAGGTTGCGGGACCTGGGGGAGGGCTGGCTGCACTGGAGAATTTCCAGAGCTGAGGCTGGTTTAGACAGAAGGAGCCCGGGGAGCCTGAGGACGGACGGGACTCCCGGGACAGGATCTCAGAGTCCAGACCTGGCTTGGGGGGTATCCGATCCGGGATTGGGGGGAGCGCAGCCCACGTGCCTGTGACGCGGGGGCGGCGGCGGCGGCGGCGGCGGCGGCGGCGGCGGCGGCGCGGGGCCGGCTGCGCGCGGGGCCGGGAGGGCGACCAGGCAGGCGGCAGGATGCTGCGCGCCGCGCTGCCGCTGCTGGGGCTGCCCCTGGCGGGGGCGGGGGCTGCTGAAGAACCCACCCAGGAGCCGGGGTCTCCGGGCGAGCCTCTCCCAGGGTTGGTGCTCTTTCGCTGGCAGTGGCACGAAGTGGAGGCCCCCTACCTGGTAGCGCTGTGGATCCTGGTGGCCAGCCTGGCCAAAATCGGTGAGTGCGTAGATTCGGGTGCTGGCCGGCAGCGGACCCCTAGTTCCCAAATCAGGGCCGGCTCCTGGCACCGTGCTGGGACTTGGGTTGAGATTCCACAATCCGGGCTCTCACGGAGTTCCTGCGTTGCCTCTTGAGGGTTTCCCTCCTCCCCTTCTCCTCGCGTGGGAGCTCTGAGGATTTGCCTTTTGCAGGGGTTGCCCGAGCTCTCTACGTCCCTATCCCTAGACTCCTTTGCCCTCTCTGCTCCCCTCTTTCCCTTGCAATAAGCCCTTAGAAACCCCTGGCAGTGGTGAGGACATGAGGGGACATTGAGGGGATGGTGTTTTTTTTGGGGGGAAACCCAGGCATCCTGGTCCCGAAGAACAGTTTTCCCTGGAGACCAGGTCCAAGTGTCCCACTCTTTCGGGATACTAACCTGTCACTTTTCCTCTAGTCCCCTAAAGATGTCTCCTTGTGCCTAGCTGTGGAACGCTACCCCAGCCCTTCAAATTCAGGTCTGCAGTCTCTTCCCACTTGAGGGCATAAGAAACTTCCATTTATTGGGGCCTTACTCTGTGCTGCCAGCACTAGAAGCTTTCATACACCCGCCCTCCTTCAGTCTACCCAACACTGAAGATTATGCTTCAGAATCCTTTCCTTGAATAGTGCAGCTTTTCCTAGCCTCTGCCGCCCTCCTCCCTACTTCTGAGCAGCCAGTGGTCCCTCCTCCCACCAGAGACCCCCCCTCCCTTCCCCTGTTGTTCAGACACTGCTGTGGGGGTGACTAATTATAGCTGTGTTGCCACTCGCTCCCCATCTATGCTGGCACAGCCTGTACTCCAATCTCACCAGTACATGGAGGAATCACATAGACTCCAGTTTGCTCCCTCCTCCCCGAGGGACACTGCTGAGAGGAGGGAGGCTGAGCAGGAACTGAAGAACTCTCCACTCTGCTGTGGCAGCCCATTGATAATGGAAAATGGGGCTTTGAATACTGTCGGGGAGCCTGGTTCTGTCGGAGGACAGGCTTTGGTGATGGGTATTGAATTGCTGGGGTTGATGCATTCTCTGGAGATGAGAAAGGAATAGGGTTCCTAGAGGAGAAGAGAGGAGGGAACCAAAGGTAGTCTGTGGGAGATCTATGTATGACTGAATTTAGCTCAGAGTCCGGCAGCAAGGAGAGCAAGGCGAGAGGAGCCTCAGATTTGGGAGCCAAGAATTGGGTTTGCTGAGAAGTTTGTGAGCTGTGGAGAGTTCCTGTCTTACTTAGGCTTATAGCAATGACTGTAGTATCCTCCATAAATCATAGTGCTTTTCCTAGATTGGATGATACCTCCTTTGGAAGTAAGAGAAGAGATTAGTAAACAAACAAACAAACAAACAAAAACCCAAGGAGGAAAAAGAAGCATAATGTCAAAATGTTCTGGGATACCCTCCTCCAGCTTTATTGCTAGAAGATCTCCTCCCTGCTTTATTCAACAAATCTTTAAAAAATATATGCTTTATTATTTTATTTATTTATTTATAGAGAGCAGAGGGAGAGGGATAGAGAGATAGAAACATCAGTGAGAGAGGGACATCATCCGTCAGCTGTCCCCTGCCCGCCCCCTAATGGGGATTGAGCTAGCAACCCTAGCTTGTGCCCTGACCAGAACTGAACCAGTGACCTCTTGGTTCCTGGGTTGATGTTCAACAGCTGAGCCACACAGGCTAGGCTCAACAAATCTTTTTAAAAAAAAAAAATATATTTTATTGATTTTTGTACAGAGAGGAAGGGAGAGAGATAGAATGTTAGAAACATCAATGAAAGAGAGTCACAAATCAGCTGCCTCTTGCACACCCCCTACCTGGGATATGCCCGCAACCAAGGCACATGCCCTTGACCAGAATCGAACCCGGGGCCCTTCAGTCCCCAAGCCGACGCTCTATCCATTGAGCCAAATTGGTCCCGGCAAGACTCAACAAATCTTAATGTAGATCCCACTATGTGCCAGGCACTGTCCTAGGTTCTTTGGGGAAGAGGCTTTCAAAGGGCACTGTCTTGGCATTGAATTTCACACAGGCTAATATGGAGGCCTACCCCACTACCCACCACCCCAAAGGATTGCCTGGACAGAGGTATTCATTCATGGCCTCAGGGACCAACAGAAAGCTAGAAGAACTCATTTTAGAGGCAAAGGTAGAAGTGGAAATAATGTTAGAGACCCATTTCATACCACCTTCTCTTTCCTAGAGATATATCTGTTATTATTTTGCTTCAGAGCCATATTTAATTAACATTTGAGAACCAAGTATTTATCCAACATCCTACTAGGCACATTCCCACTATATCAATTTATCCTCACCCTGTATAATGGATATTTCTCCCATATTATAGGAGAAGAAATTAAAGTTCAGATAAATTAAATAATATGCTTGAGATCACACAATTAGAAAGTGATAGAGACAGAATTGGAGATCTTCTGATGGTTAAACCCAATACTTCTTTTTTTTAAATATCTTATTGATTTTTTTTATAGAGAGGAAGGGAGAGGGACAGAGTTAGAAACATTGATGAGAGAGAAACATTGACCAGCTGCCTCCTGCACACCCCCCACTGGAGACATGCCCGCAACCAATGTATATGCCCTTGACCGGAATTGAACCTGGGAACCTTCAGTCCGCAGACCGACACTCTACCACTGAGCTAAACCGGTTTTGGCAAACCCAATACTTTTTAAAGTACTGAATCCTTGGTGAGCCTTTTAATGAAAAGCACATTGTACTAGCATTGTGCTCCTAGGAGATATAATATTCATTATGGTCTAGTTAGAGAGACAGGACACAGTAATATAATTATAGGTAATATTTAGTGAGTGCTTACTATAAAGCACTGGGCCAAGTACTTTTGACTAGATCGTCTTATTTAAACCTCACAACAATTCTATGGCATCATGACTGCTTTTATTCCCATTTTATTCTTGAGAAAACTGAAAGTCATAGAAGTGAAGTTATTTGCTCCAAAGTCACAGAACTAGTAAATACAGGAGCCAGGCTCTGGACCCAAGCACTCTGGCTCCACAGGTCCTGATTTTTACACCTATGTTATACATAAAAGTATATTGAGTAGCATTTGCTGAGGTTCAAATAATGGTGCTGAATAAGGGAAATCGGAGAAAGGTGGGTCCCCTGAATATGAAGTAGAGAGAAGGGGGAATTTCTGGAAATGAAAAAAGCAAGCAATGGTCTGGGTTACCATGGTAGGAGCACCAAGAAATAGACAACTTTGTAGCCCTGGAAGGTTGGAGATTCTAGGAGTCTTGCATTTCTTTTCTCCTTCCTTGGTCCCAGGGTCAGGGGTCCTGACCTTGGATAACCTTCTAAGACTGGGAGGTTATAGGCCAGTGTGTGTGTGTGTGTGTGTGTGTGTGTGTGTGTGTGTGTGTTCTGTGAGCTGAAACTTCTGGCCCTCTTCTTGCATTGCAGTGTTCCACTTGTCTCGGAAGGTGACGTCTGTGGTCCCCGAGAGCTGCCTGCTGATTTTACTGGGACTGGTGCTTGGAGGCATTGTCTTGGCTGTGGCCAAGAAAGCTGAGTACCAGCTGGAGCCAGGCACCTTCTTCCTTTTCCTTCTGCCTCCTATCGTGCTAGATTCAGGCTATTTCATGCCAAGCCGGCTGCTCTTTGACAACTTAGGTGCCATCCTCACCTATGCCGTGGTGGGCACACTCTGGAATGCCTTCACAACAGGTGCTGCCCTCTGGGGCCTGCAGCAGGCTGGACTTGTGGGTGAGTGACTCTAAGACTTAAGCTGGCAGAGGGAGGTTTTGCCAGACTGATCATTCAACTCTTTTCTCCACCAGCTTTGGAGATCCCAAGTTGGCAAGAGCCATACCGGAGAGCTCCATCTTGGGTCCCTCCCACCTGGAGTATAAGGCATTGCTCCAGATGGGCCCTCAAGCCTTCATTTAGGCCTTTGCCAGTTGAATCTGGGTTCCTACAACATGACAGATAATCAGGGACCTGACTCCCAGTTGTGTGTGGGCTGCCGTGGCTGGGAAGCCTGTGTCTCCTACCCTGCTGCCTCCTACCCTGTTACCAGTCTGCCACTTGCCAGCCCTGTTCCCCTGAGGCACAGCTCACCATTTTTTTGAGGGCCTACCATCCTGACTCATTTTATTATTTGTAATAAATACATAGTATATGTTCACAAAATGCAAGATACTACATTGGGTGTTCGCTTTACTTATCCCACTGACTCATAGCAGCCCTGTTGAGATATAATTTATCCCATTTAATGGGTGAAGAAATAGAGGCCCTTAAACTTATTAAATATCAGGTCCAAGATTAGCAGGAGAGGTCCGTTTTACTGAGGCTCTTTGCATTCAGGCTGCTGTGACCTGCTTCCTTCTTCCTCATTTCCTGCCCCCACCCCCCCAAAAAAAATTCAATTAATTCTGGATGTTGGTAATTCAGCCTTCTTCCGAGGTGCAAGGAAAAGTTTGCAATTTCCACGTGAGGACTCCACCCTGGTTTTCCTCATGGGTCAGTGAACTCCCTGAGCTGTAAGGAAGGGAGGACATGAGACTGTGATATTAATAGTAATCCTAATAATATGGTACTTTTAATGCATTAGACACTGGCTAACTGAAGAACTTTGTGGGGAAAATAACTTATTATTCCCAATAGATACACGAGGAATCTGAGGCTCACAGAGACTTGACATTGTTCAAGTCTCACCTGTGGTGCTTTTCCTATTCAGTTCTCATAGATGGACAGCCTCTTCCCTTCCTGCTGAGAATTGGGAGGGTCACATCCCTTAGGCTGAGTGAGAACCACGGATGTGGGAGAAAGCACGCTCTTTTGTTCTCCCAGATAAAGCCAGTCAGCAGCCAGTTTCCACCTGCTGGTGGTTATGATTAGTGCTGCTGCAGTGTTTATTGTCAGCGCCACTTCAGCTTTTCAGGTTACGTAGAGCTTTCTTAGTCTCCTGGGTTGATTTTTGCAGCAGTCTTGTGAGGTAGGCACAGGAGGAGGCATGGCTAAGAGGTCATGTGACAATGACAGAGCTGGTGAGTGGCAAAACCAGGCCTTAGGGCTTAAGTCTCTTGAATAGCAGGCTGATGCTCTCTGTCATCCCAGGTCCTTTCTGGGTGTCCTTGTTTTAACACTGGGGTAGAGTCTGGGCTTGTCACAGGGAATGCTGGAGGAGACTCAGTACATCACCAATTACTGTCCCTTGAAAGCGCCTAGAGTGCAGGCTGGCTTGCTGGACTTCCTGCTGTTCGGGAGCCTCATCTCAGCAGTGGACCCCGTGGCTGTGCTGGCTGTCTTTGAGGAGGTGCATGTCAATGAGACTCTCTTTATCATCGTCTTCGGCGAGTCCCTGCTCAACGATGCAGTCACCGTGGTGAGCGTGCTCAGCAGGCTGCCATTCCTAATCCCAGACCCTCTGGCTCTGACTAGTTGGGTGTATGAGCAGGCTCAGACCCTCTCCCCACCCCAGATACCCTGGGGGAAGAAATACAGTTGTAGTGCTCACCTTCTCCCAGCAGTCCCACCTGCTGCCTCCCCCTCATTCCTGACTCTCCTTTTCTCATTCAGGTGCTGTACAAGGTCTGCAACTCCTTTGTGGCGATGGGCTCTGCCAACGTGTGGGCCACTGACTACTTGAAGGGAGTCGGTCAGTATCTCCTCACTTTCGGCTGGCACTGCAGGTCTGCCTCCCCTGGGTTGCTGCATTCCTGTCCCCACTGCATCAGGGCAGAGGAGGCTTTTCAGGCCACCTCATTCCCTTCCCTCCTTTAAGGGGAAATAGGCCCTGAGGACCTAAGAAGGAGGGTCTTTTCTTGGGATCCTGCTCTCCCGGGAAGTGCAGTGGCTATCCTCCTCCATTCCCTGCCAGGCAGTAGTCTTGTCAACCCAGGCTTGGTCCAGGGGTCATGCTGACAACCCACTCCTCCCCCAGCCTCCCTGTTTGTGGTCAGTCTGGGCGGGGCAGCCGTGGGCTTAGTCTTTGCCTTCCTCCTGGCCCTGACTACACGCTTCACCAAGCGGGTCCGCATCATCGAGCCACTGCTGGTCTTCCTCCTCGCCTATGCAGCCTACCTCACTGCTGAGATGGCCTCCCTCTCCGCCATTCTTGCGTGAGTCCTGGGGAACTCGCAGGCAAGCAGCTGGGAGGGGGCACTGGAGATAGTTGGCCACACCCTCTCCTATAGCATGTTCAGACCCCATAACTGTGCCTCCTGCGACCCCTTCTCACTTGCCTTGTCTCTCCATCCTTCTCCCAGGGTGACTATGTGTGGCCTGGGCTGTAAGAAGTATGTGGAGGCCAACATCTCCCATAAGTCACGCACCACCGTCAAATACACAATGAAGACTCTAGCCAGCTGCGCTGAGACGGTCATCTTCATGCTGCTTGGCATCTCAGCTGTGGACTCTTCTAAGTGGGCCTGGGACTCCGGGCTGGTGCTGGGCACTCTCTTCTTCATCCTGTTCTTCCGAGCCCTCGGTATTGCATTCCCGCTCTCCTTCCTGCCTGTGCCCCAGCTCATTTCCCAATCTGAGTCCACATCCTCGTCAATTCCTAAGCCTCCCCTTGTTGCGATCCCTTCCCAGCCCCTGTCGGACCTTAGCCCAGATATTTGGTGCCATCCGTTGTCAGTGCGCTCCACTCCCAATCCCCTGCTCCTACCGGCCTCCCTCCTGCTGTAGGTGTAGTCCTGCAGACGTGGGTGCTGAACCAGTTCCGGCTGGTCCCTCTGGACAAGATTGACCAGGTGGTGATGTCCTATGGGGGCCTGCGGGGGGCTGTGGCCTTCGCTCTCGTCATCCTACTGGACAAGACCAAGGTCCCTGCCAAGGACTACTTTGTGGCCACCACTATTGTGGTGGTCTTCTTCACAGTCATCGTGCAGGTGGGAGAGTCCGCCAGGCTGCTTGGGAGAGGGCGTGGCAGGTCCTGGGGGAGGCTTGGAGCCTTTGGGGTAGGGATTCTTCTTCCTGATGGGGGTACAAGGGGCCTTCCTTTCCCAGACCTTGAATGCATTGAGGTCAGGATACAGAAGCTGAAGCCTAATTATGGGGAGAGAAACCCATCAGAGAACTAGGTAGGGCAGGGCTCACCTGCTGCCTGTCTGTAGGGCCTGACCATCAAGCCACTGGTCAAGTGGCTGAAAGTGAAGAGGAGTGAGCATCACAAACCTACCCTGAACCAGGAGCTGCATGAGCACGTGGGTACCAGCACGCCATCCCTCCACCTGCCCCTCTCTCCCTTTTCCTAATTTGAGCAGAGTCCTGATCCAGTCCCCCTACCCGCCCCCCTTCTAGACTTTTGACCACATTCTGGCTGCAGTGGAGGACGTTGTGGGGCACCATGGCTATCACTACTGGAGGGACAGGTGAGGGAGCTGCCCCGAGGCTCCTTCAGCAGCAGCAGCAGCCCCACCAGCCAGGGCAGCATGGGGGATGTGCCACCCTCCTGAGAAGGGACACAGCGGGCTCAGGCTGGGTGACCTCTGCCTGAACCCCTTCAGTGGCATCCCAGCACTCTCAGGATAAGACAGGTGTCTCCCCCCCCCCCCCCCCCCCCAGTGAGGCCTGCCTAGCCCTGCATGGTCTGGCACCTGCTGGATTCCACCTCATTGTGCTCTGTTCTGTCTTTGACCATCTGCCTGTTAATTACATGGATCCTGGTTCAGAGCTTCAGGACCCACCCTGTTCCTCCCACCCTGGCCACTGGGATTGTACACATGTAGTTCTCTCTACGAGAACGTTTCCTAGCCTCCCTTTCACCTGCTTCATCGCCGCTCATCCTTCAGATCTCACCACAGCCATCAAGTCCTTAGGGAGGCTGTCCCTGGCCTCTGCTAGGACAGATCCTTATCACGCTCAGTAATTAATTCTTTGTGGTTCTTGTCACGGTTGTAGTGTTACAGTTATTTGTACTAACTTCAGTTAGCGGCAGGCTTTCCCGTAACACAGTAACTTCCAATAAGGACCATGACTAGCGTCAAGATTTTTCCTGCCTGAGGCCCATACGAAGGGAGCCAGGCCAGCACTGGTAGTGTCCCTGCCACATTCGAGGAAGGGCCAGCTGGCCGGGCCATGGGAATGGCACTCAGGGCTGGGCCTGGCATCCTCTGCAGGTGGGAGCAGTTTGACAAGAAGTACCTGAGTCAGCTGCTGATGCGGCGGTCGGCCTACCGCATCCGGGACCAGATCTGGGATGTGTACTACAGACTCAACATCCGGGATGCCATCAGCTTCGTGGACCAGGTGGGTCTGCAACCTGCGGTGGGTGAGCAGGTGGTTTTGGGAGGGCAAGGCGGGAAGGGGTGACTGACCGCAGACAGGCCCTGAGCCAGGAAGTCAGGGATTCCTAGCAGACTCAATGATCTTGTGGAGTGGCGGCTGCAGAAACCAGCCTGGCCTGATGCTGACGTTCAGAGTCGGGCAGACAGCAGAGAAAGATGGGCGTCAGCTAAACTCTCGTTGATAGATCAACCCTCTCTCATCTCAAATGTGGTTCAGTTCTCATCCCTAGGCTTGTGACCTTGGGTAAGTCACTTAACACTTTCTCTGAGCCTCAGTTTCCTCAACTGTAAGAAAGTGGAAATAGGAGTGCCCCGTGCCACACAGAGTTGCGAGGATTCATTAGGTAAAGTTGAACCTTCACCATCAAAAGGACAGAATGTATTAACTATTATTATTTTTGTTGTTGCCCTCTGACACATTCAATCTGATTGTCCTCTGACAATTCAATAAAACTGCCCTCTGACACATTCAATCTGATTGTCCGCTGACCTTTGTCTTGGTCCCTCCAGGGAGGCCACGTCTTATCCTCCACTGGGCTCACTCTGCCCTCGATGCCCAGCCGAAATTCTGTGGCAGAGACCTCTGTCACCAACCTACTGTAAGTCCTTGGGCCTGCTTCCCCTTCCCCAAGCTCCTCTCCCTGGGCCCTCTTTCCGAATCACTTCTGGGGAAGTTTGTGAGCACCTCTGCTTCTGCCCTTTCCCCAACCCATGCCTCCTGGCCCTTCCCCAGCATGTGGGTTCCCTGCTTCTTGCAGGCGGGAGAGCGGCAGCGGAGCGTGTCTGGATCTGCAGGTGATTGACACAGTACGTAGTGGCCGGGACCGTGAGGACGCCGTGATGCACCACCTGCTCTGTGGAGGCCTCTACAAGCCGCGCCGCAGGGTGAGAACAGCCAGGGAGTCAGAGTGCTGAGGGGGTGAGGGTGGTCTGAGGAGGCCATGATCGCAGGCTCAAGAGGTGGTTGGCACCAGCTGTGGGAGGGTTATAGATGCCCAGTTGAAGAGTGGGGGCTTCATCTCGTCAGTAATAACTTTCAGCTTTTCTTTTCTGAGTAAGGGCTGGTCTGATACAAGCACTGTTTAAAGATGTCTTCTCTGCTAGCAGAAGGCATATCGAATAGGAAGGGGTGAGTTGAAAGGCTGTGTGAGCCAGTGGAGAGGCTGAGCGAGTTCGTCAGGAGGCTGGAGTGCTACACAGAATGAGAGCTTGGTGGTGGGAAGGGAGAGGAGCAGAGGACTGGGTGATTGGCCCCGGAGGGGAGAGAAGAGGGCTTGATGGGGTTCGTCACAGGCAGAAGCAGGAGTGCTGAGACCAGCTTAGCCTGGGGAAGGCAGGCACTAGTTTAGGTAATGTGAGTTAGTTAAGTCCAGGTTGTTTGTGAAGTTTGGGGCCTGGAAAGGCCCATCCCCATCCTAGAGGGAACCTATCACAGCCCCACAAGGGGGCAGCAAGCCATTACCTTGAACTTGCCTGAAATGGGGGAGCCAGCTGTTACCATTTCTGGCAGTTTTAACAGTCAAGGCTGTTTCTACCATGGAGACAGAATTGGCCTCCTTTTAACTTTGCTCCCACTGGTCCTGATTTAACTCCCTGCAGCTCTGCAAAATATATTTTCAAAGGTTTCAAGGCAGTTCCCTTCCACAGGCCTTCTGCCCTGAGGCCAGCATTTCTTCTTCCTGCTGTGTCTTCTCTGGCCATAGAAACAGGCCCACAGGCAGCAATTCTAGCTGCCATTAGCTGTGGCAGGGCATGGAGCCTTTCTTATCTTTCTAGTTCTAGAACTTGCCATTCTCTTCTTGTAGTCCAGAATCCTTTCAGCTTTGGCTCACCATCCTGCGGCCCCATATTGTTCTTACAATCAGACAACCCCCAGTATCTTCTTCAGTTAATTTAACCCTATCTCATCTAATTTATCATATATCTATCTATATATATATAGATATATATATATAGATATATTTTTAGAAAGGAAGGGAGAGGGAGAGACATGGAAACATCAATAATGAGAGAGAATCATTGATTGGCTGCCTCTTGCACACCCCTGTCTCCTGGGGATCAAGCCTTGATCAGGTACACCCTCTCTGCCTGCCTGCTTGGTAGGGACCAAGCCAATGCTCTACCACTAAGCCATGCCTGCGGGACTTGTTTACTTTTTTTCTAATGGAAAATTTCACTCATCCACAAAACTAGAGAGAATAAAATAACTCATCTATTACCCAGCTCCAGTAATTATCAATGCATAATTTAATCTTATATTCTGGACCCTCACACCCTATCCACACTTTGTCGCAAAGCAAGTTCCATATATCATATCATATATCATATCATATCATATCATATCATATACCATCTCTAAATATTTCAGTATGTATCTAGGTGCAAGAACTCTCTTAAAAACACACACAACATACTACCATGATCGCTTATGACAATTAACAATAATTCCTTCTCACATCAAATATCCAGTGCTCCTAAATATCTTTTTCCAGATGGTTTGTTTAAATCAGGATCCAAATAAAGTCCACGCATTGCATTTGGTAAATTTGTCTCTTTATTTAAAAAAAGAACAAAACTATAATATTTCCTTCTCCTTCCTTTTATCTCCTTGTTATTTATTGATTGAAGAAACTAGATTCTTTGTCTCAGAGAATTTTCCATTTTACAGATTTTGCTGATTATATTTCAGTGGTGGTTTTTAACCTATTCCTCCCTCTTCTATGCTTACTGATAGTGAAGTCTAGAAGTGTGGTCATGTTCTAGGAACATTGAATAACATGCTATGTGTTTCTTACTGTTTCACATCAGGCTGTACATAATGATTGGTTGTCTATGGATATATGTGTGTAAGATTGGTTAGTGGGGTCTGTCCAACCTGCTCTTGCGTAATTTAAAAAAACAACAACCTGGAGTAAGATTGTGCTTATCCCTGTTAAATGTCATCTTATTTGATTTAGCCCATCATTCCATCGTTTGGATCCCATGTCTGCCACCAAATATCCGCTCAGATTCACATCATTTGAAAATTTGCTAACCTGTTAACTCTGTCCATCCAAGTCAACATAAAAATGTTGACCAGGATAGAGCTGAGGACAGAGCCCTGTGACATCTTACTAAAGACTTTCCTCCAATCTGACACGGATCAAGCATTTTTGGGGTATGGTTACTCAACCAGTTCGGAATCCACTTAGTTATACCATAATACATAATTCCTCATGTTCTCCACAGAAATACCATCAAGGAGAGACAGGAGTGTCTAGTATGCAGTTAGAAATATAAAATTATAGTTTAAGAGAGAGTTAAGGCCTGGAGATAGATTTGGAAGCAGTCTTTATCACAGGTTTCCTCACCTGGCTACATCAGAATCCCCTGGGGACTTTGCTGGAATACACATTCCTGACTTCACCTCCTACAGATTCTGATTCTGTTGTATGAAATGCAAAAAAGAAACTGTGTGTTTAAATTAAAAAAAAAAAAAATATATATATATATATATATATATATATATATATATATATATATATATTGATTTCAGAGAGGAAGGGAGAGAGAAATAGAAACATCAATGATGAAAATCATTAATTGACTGCCTCTTGCATATCCCTACTGGGGGTCAAGCCCGCAACCCAGGCATGTGCTGGGTCAGGAATCAAATCATGACCTCCTGGTTCAATCAAACTTCAATCACTGAGCCATACTGGCCTGGCAAGAATCTCTGTGTTTAATACTTCCCCCTGGTGATTCAAATGCTGCTAGTCTGATGGCTGGTGTTTGGAAACCACAGATCTCTATCCCTGGGCTAACTGAAGCTGAAAGAATGGATACTTTTGCTGGGGAGAGTATTTAGAAGGGAGAGAGGGAAGCCAAAGACAACACTGTGAGGAATGCACATGGAAGAAGAGAAGGGGGAGCCAGCAAAGAAGGAGAGAAAAGGAACCCTTGGAGTAGCAGCTGGTGTCCTGGACGCCTGGGGCAGAAGTGGGACTGGCTGCTGCACAGAGCTCAGGCCAGCGCTTAATTAGGGGCCATGACACTGGTGATCAGGTAGAAGGTAGCACTGGGGAGTTGCAGACCATGAAGTAGTATTTCTGGGAATAATGGGTATGAGGGAAAGTGTCAATCAAAGTATTAAAGTCTGGCAGCAAAGGGGAGGCAATGGAGTCAATGGGGAAAAATTTTTTTTTTCAAGGAAGTAAGGGGGCAGTGGTGAGGGAGGGATAGGAGAAGCAGGAGAGGAGGAAACAGGAGCAGGGAAACTGATGGAGGCAGCAAAGAATGAACTGAGCAAAGCAGAGGCTGGGGTTGAGAGCCTTTACCTCCTGAGAGAGGGGCACCTCTAGGTGAGTGTGTAGGAGGAGGGCAGATGGGAGACTTGCGGGAACTCTGAGAATTGGTTCAGGGCAGCAGAAAATGTGAGGTATAGGAAAGGGGAAGACTGGGGATGGGAGGCAAGGCCAGATGACCTGGAATGGTGGGAGTACTTGGGAGATGACCACTAGATAACGAAAAGACTGCCGGAGCCAAGGGCAGAGATGGAGGCAGTCTTAGGCGAGTGTGTGGTAGATTTCTATGAGAAAGAATTGGAAGGAGCAGTTGATGGGATTAGTCCTGAATTGGGCACAGGTGGTTGTTGTATGGAGAGGGTTCGGGGGTGTCAGGAGAGAGAGAGAGAGGGGGTAGTTCAAAGTGCTGCCCGAGGTATCACGGAGGTGGCTGTAGGAATGACCAGCTGGAGAGTCCCACCTGGAGAGAGAATCCTGTGTAGCCAGAAGGGGTCGTATGGACCAGGCAAGTGGACAGGTTCATAACTGGAGGTGCAAAGGAAGAAGTACCCACCATAGTCTCATAGTAACCCCTGCTTCTGGTCACTTTAAATCAGAGAGAACTGGGGAAGGGCAGTAGTGGAGAGGGGAAACCAGACTTGGGGAGAATAGGTTTTGGGGGCAAAAGGAAGTTTCCCCCCAGTGAACTGAAGACACAGACTGGCTGGATTCCTATTATATTCTTGTTTTGCTCTTGAAAAACTGGGCTGGCAGGGCCTGTGGTGGCCATGGGGCTGTGGCCTGGGATTCCTGTGGGAGGCCAGGGCACCCAGCCTCACGGCAGGGCGGGGCTGTCATTGCCAGTACAAAGCCAGCTGCAGCCGCCACTTCATCTTGGATGACGCGCAGGAGCGGCAGGACAAGGAGGTCTTCCAGCAGAACATGAAGCGGCGGCTGGAGTCCTTCAAGTCCACCAAACACAACATCTGCTTCGCCAAGAGCAAGCCGCGACCCCGCAAGGCTGGCTACAAGAAGGCACGTGCTTCCTTTGGGACCCCGGTTTGGGGCTGGAGACGGACGGCATGCAGTTTTGAGGCCCCTCTCCACCAAGTGTTGGAGCCCAGTTAGATAATACTCAGGGACTTAGTGGCAGCAGCAGTCTGGATTCCCTTTTGCATTTTCTTGGAGCCCCCAAAGGGCAAGGTGAGGCCTTCAGAGGGAGATCAGCCACTTGGCCATGCAGTCCCCTGCTGGGAGGCAGCAGGACTTCATTCCAGAAATGAAATGAGCAGGAGAAAGGCAGATTCCTTGGAGGGGGCATCTCCATAAGCCCCTCATTCAGCCCAGACTGGGGTATGGGTTACTCAGACTCCACACTTGCCTGGGGGGCCCAGGGCTGGTGGAACCACTGGGATTGACACAGAGCCCATCCCCTGCTGTGTCAGGAAGACAACAGGGTTAGGGTTGGAGCCAGGGCCAGAGGCTTAGGGTGTTTTTCTTACTTCTTAGAAGAATGGTGTGGCTAACACTGCGGCTACAAATGGGAAATCTCCTGGAGACCTGGGCTTTCGGGACACAGGCAAGCAGGGAGTGGGGGGAGGGGAAGGCTGAGGATGGGAGGGATAGGGACCTCTTGGTACATGAGATGATGCTCACCCCACTGAGCCATACCAGCTCATGTTTTCAATGGATGGGACCTGGGGCTGAGAGGATAAGATGGGAAAGCTAGAGAGTGTGACTTCCCTAATGGCTTCCTCTGAGGACTCTGCTTGCCCAGTTTGCCTCCTTGGGATCTGCAGCCCCACTTCCCTTCCTTGCAAGCACCCATCCCCCAGGCCAGCGCTGAAGCAGGTGCCTCTGCCAGCTGGGAGCTCTGCTTAGGTGGAGAAAGGAACTGGCCTGCGCAGTACCAAGAGGCAGCTGCTGGGCTGGCCATCCTAACTCAGCTCTTGTCCCTATCCAGCTGCTGTGATCTTAACTGTGGAGTCTGAGGAGGACGAGGAGGAGAGCGACAGTTCTGAGACAGAGAAGGACGACGAGGGGATCATCTTTGTGGCTCGGGCCACCAGTGAGGTTCTGCAAGAGGGCAAGGTCTCAGGTAATGGCTCCCTCCCTGCCTCCCTCTCCTCTGGAGCAAGGCGGAGCTGTGCCATTGGCTTCTCCCTTTTCACTCATGGTCTCTACTCCAGACAACTCCCTTTCCCTGTTCACTCACTTATTCACCAACCGGCACTGACTGAGCACCGCCTTCCTATCAGACACCTGACGTACGTGATTTGATTCAACCCTCACAACGACCAAGAAAGGGAAACGGCTGAGAGAACCAGAGCTTGAGACTTGTCCAGGATCCCACAGCAGTTTAATTTTCAATCACAGTATCAGTACATTTTATTTATTTATTTATTTAAATTTAATATATTTTTATTAATTTCAGAAAGGAAGGGAGAGGGAAAGAGAGAAACATCAATGATGAGAGAGAATCATTGATTGGCTGACTCCTGCACATCCCCCACTGGGGATAAAGCCCGTAACCCAGGCATGTGCCCTTGGTTGGAATCGAACCTGGGACTCTTCAGTCTGAAGGCCGACTCTCTATCCACTGAGCCAAACCAGCTAGGGCAATATCAGTACATTTTAAAATATACTCAATCTAGTCTAGTTTGTTGGGCTGCTCAGGGCTCTATCAATGAGCAGACACATACTGATCTGCAAAGCATTGTGCTTGACATTGGCCAGAGAGCTTCTCTTTCCCAGGCTTCCTCTTTCAGAACCTCAGACTTCCTGTCCTACAGGGGCCGAGCCTTCCATCCTGGCTGCCAGCATTCTGGGATTTTTCAGCTCATGTCCACTTTCTTTTTTGGCACAGCTTTGTTCTGCTATTAGGTTTGTATGAGCTCACACTCCTGGGCTCTGGCCCCACCAGAGGGCTGTGGTGGGTGCTCAGACAGGGCTCCCAGCAGCACAGCCTTTGGCTGGAGCCTTGAGATCTCCCTCACCCTCGCTGCCATCTCACCCTGGGATGGGGCTTGGCAGGATGTGGTTCCTGAGACTGCAAGTCTGGTGAGAGCTGATTTCCTGCCTGGCTCACTGCTTTAATTACTTTTTGTTTTTTAAAAAATATGTTTTATTGATTTTTTACAGAGAGGAAGAGAGAGGGATAGAGAGTTAGAAACATCGATGAGAGAGAAACATTGATCAGCCGCCTCCTGCACACCCCCCAATGGGGATGTCCCCGCAACCAAGGTACATGCCCTTGACCGGAATTGAACCCGGGACCTTTCAGTCTATGGGCTGACGCGCTATCCATTGAGCCAAACCGGTTTTGGCCTGCTATAGTTACTTCCATATTTCAAAGTTATTTGTTGAGCAACTACTATGTGCCCGGCCCTGTGCTAGGTGCTGGGGATACAGCAGAGAGCAAAACCAGCTGTGGAGCTTCCCTTCAGCAAGGCATTCATCAAATAATCACACAAATGGATGTAACATGGCAACCGTGGAATGAATTTATTTATGAAAATGTAATAGTTGAGAATCCCATTGTGTTGGTACTGAGTGTATGTGTGTACTCTGTTTCCAGGGAGCCTTGAGGTGTGTCCGAGTCCACGTATCATCCCCCCATCTCCAACCTGTGCAGAGAAGGAGCTACCCTGGAAGAGTGGGCAGGGAGACCTGGTGGTCTACGTATCCTCGGAAACCACCAAGATTGTGCCCGTGGACATGCAGATGGGCTGGAACCAGAGCATCTCGTCCCTGGAGAGCCTGGCGTCCCCGTCCTGCACTCAGGCCCCGACTATGACGCGTCTGCCTCCCCGCCCGCTGGCTGCTGAAGAGCCCCAGGCCGCTCTTGAGCTGCGCCCTAGCTTCGCCTTTCCCCCGAGCCTGGCCAAGGCTGGCCGCTCTCGCAGCGAGAGCAGCGCTGACCTCCCCCGGCCACAGGAGCTGCAGCCCCTCATGCAACACGAGGACCAGTCGCACCTTAGCCCAGGCACCGCCAGCTCTCACTGGTGCATCCAGTTCAACAGAGGAGGCCGGCTGTAGCCCAGGGACTCGAGGGGGCGCAGGGGACTGGGGTCCCTGTGGGAAGTCCCCGCACAAAGGGCAGAGGAGCCCACTCAGCCTGGCATGGGGTCGGAGGGGCCTGGACTGACGTAGCAACTGGGCTCCTGAAGGGCAGGTCAGAAGGGTCTCCTGGGCTGGTCCCGAAAGGGGCCCTTTTCACAGCCACTGCTACTGCTTCTAACTCCTGCCACCTCCCCAAGCGAGGGCCTGGGCCCAGAGGCGTGGACTGCTGATGTCCCTTCCCCAGAGGGTCTTCCTGGGGTCATGTTAGGCAGTTTCCTGCCCCCAGTGCAAGGAAGAAAACCACAAAGGCATCTAGTGAGAAATGCCTCATTCCTCAGTGCACACGGGCCTTTCCTGCCCTCCATCCCCTCCGTAGCTCCAGCTCAAGGACAGTGGCATTGAGGTTCCTCAAGGACTGGTCCTCAGAGGGCTTAGGTTGGAGGTGGAGCAGGTTTCAACCTCGGGCTTTGCTGCCCTGTTCTGTCAGCTACCTATAACCAAAATTCTAAGGGCATTGGGGATCTGTCTTCCCTTCTTGCTTTACCTCCTTCCGTGTGCTGCCCGTTATTGGGGTGATCTCTCCTCCTTTTCCAGGACGAAGGCCACAGAGCTGGGCCAGGCTTCAGTTCAGGGCTGCTTTTTAGCCAGGGTCACTCTGAGGCCCTGCTGCTCTGTGTCCAACTCTGGACCTTTCAGGTCCTTGGATCTGGTTTCCTAAGGAAGGGAGATGGTGGCTACCTTGATGTTTCCCAAACAGGAATGGAGCCAGGGCCACTGCTCCACTGCTCTGGGGGCTGACAGGGTGGCAGGGGACTTGCCTGGGGTTAGCACCTGTGTTTTATACCTTGAACCGAAGCTACATTAAATGTCCCTCAGATGGATGGGTGTCCCGTGTCCAAGTGTCTGGGTGTCTAGGGGCATCGGGTGACAACAAGGGCATTTGGTGAGGGAAATGGAATCTTCCAACCGCCTGCCCCAGGGCTTCTGGGGCAGAGATTGGAGGGGGATCCTGGGAAGGACTGTTGGGCCCTCTGATCTTCCCTCCCTCCACTCCTGTACCTTCCCAATATTGTCCCCTTTCAGGGGCCTGCAGAGGCAGTACATGACCACGATGGGCTCAGGGAGTCCACACAATGGTGAAGGCCAGCAGGAGAAGAGACCTCAGAGGTCAGGTGCCCTGGTGTCCAAAGATGCAGCCACCACACGACCGATGAGCCTTGAAAACATGAAGGCAGGTGCAGGACAAACGGACAGAAGTGCTTTGCACCTGGTGGGTGGGAGGGCAATCTCAAGGAAGCTGGCTACTATGAGTGTTTACGATGCAAATTGGGTAGTGTGGGCTCCAGAAACATCTAGGGATAGAAATTCCTGGTAACAGCAGTTCTAGATTCAATTTCCTTAAAGGGGAATTGAGTCTGAAGGACTTTTAAAAATGACATCTATCTTGCTCTTGTCAGTGTGGCTCAGTTGGTTGAGTGTTGTTCTGTGCACCAAAAAGTCCCAGCTTGATTCTGGGTCACATACCCAGGTTGCAGGTTCCATTCCCAGTTGGGATGCATGAGGAGGCAAGTAAAGGGTGTTTCTCACATTGCTGTTTCTCTCTCTCTCCTCCTTTCCCCTCTCTCTAAAATCAATAAAAAGCATTAAACAATACGTCTATCTTTACTAAGATATAACATGCACACCTTAAAATTCACCCATTTACAATGTACAGTACAGAGATTTTTAATATATCGAGTTGTGCAACGCCACCATCTCAGTTTAGAACATTTTCATCATTCTCAAAAGTTACTCCTTACCCCTGGCTCAGCCCTAGGTAATCACTAACCCACTTTCTGTCTCTAAAGATCTGAAGGACTTGACATACTGCCAAGGTTACACATGGAGTCCCTTTTTCTGTTAGGCCTGGGGAAAATGGGAAGAAAAGAGAGATGTAAGCTTTGCACTCAAGTTGTTAAAGATGGCAGTGGTAAGGTCTAGCAGTTAACAGTCCCAACTGTCATTCACCAGGTATAGCATCAGTGTCTTCACCTCTAAAATGGGATAACAATCATACTTATTTCATAAGGTTGCTATCAGGATTCAACGGTAAAATAAGAATCTAGTACAGAGCCTGGCCCACAGGAATCACAAATGTTGGTCATTATTGGTCTTATAAGGCAAAGAACCCTGACAGGAGGAGGAGATCTGAGTAGGCTTTGGGAGTGTGTGTAGAGGCTCAGACAATATAGGCAAAGTTGGGTGGGTGCATTCTAGGTAGAAAGAGCAGCATAAACAAAGGATGCCTAGAGCACAACCAGCAAAAATCAAGAAGCAGTGGGTGATGTGATTGAGAGAAACCAGCCAGGGACCCAAGGCTTGGGTAGGCAGACTCTGCTGATGTGTGTTTTTTTGGCAGAGGCTACTTGGTGAGTTTTGGGGGTCTTCCAGAGAGAGCTGGCCTGGGGGAATTTGGATCTGGGAGTGTTGTGGGCACTGATGTGCTATAGGAAGCTCCGATGTAGCTGAGCCAGAGGGAAGATGTGTGAAATCCCAGGAATGGGGCTGGTTCTGGAGAGGAAAGGCAGCCATTCCCAAACTTTAGTGTCAGAATTATCGAGGAGCTTATCAAACATGCAGATTCCCAGGCCTACCGGAAAGGTTCTATGGTGTAGGGGAGGGGGTACTAGGTGGTTCCTGGGCCTGGTGCTGGGTAACTAAGAACAGGGACTGCCAGGCGGATAGGGTTGGTCAGAGGCAAGAGGGCTGGGGGAGAAAAGCAGGTGAGCACAGGCCGGGGAGACAGGTGTCTGGAATGCAGGAGAGCGAGCAAGTCACGAGCTCATCTATGGGTTACCACCTGACTGGGCAGAGCGGCAGGAATGGCCTTCAGTGCCACCTGAGCTGCATGCAGGCCTTGAAGGAGGAAGGATTTTGACCTGGGGAGGTGGGTGTGGGTATGCCAGGTAGAGAACAGGTAACTAAGGCTTCTAATCAGATCAGTTTTGCAGGCCAGGATAGGACCTGGACAAGGAAGGCTCAGACAATGCCTCTGGATGGCCTTGAATGCCACGCTAAGGAAACTAAAGTTTATTTAGGTCAAAGGGGAGAGAGGTTTAGAAACTTAGGGGTATACGTCACCCTCACTATCCGGGGCAGTATTGAAGAGGGTATGTAAATTTGGGATGGAGTTAGGGTAATGAGAACAGGTCTCTTATCACTAGGTCCACTAAGGCACAGCGCATTTTATTTTTGGTTTATTTATATTGGCAAGAAATGGGAGGCTGAGGGATGGGAGGGAAGGCTGGGAACAGGGCAGGGGAGGGAAGCCCATTCCCATTTTATGATCTCAGTGGAAAAGGCTGCTGTGAGTATATTCTGCTGCCAGGAGAGCCACAGAGATGGGCCCCGTGAGTCACTGCTCAGTCCTGCCACCTCAGCCCACAGAGCCTGCTGTGGTCAGCAGCCCCGGCTGGCTCCAGGCCCAGCCCCCGGTATTCCAGTATTCCTCACGAGGCCTCAGGCCGTCCCCATTTCTGTATTTTTGCCATCCTGGGCCGCATATCCTGTAGCTCTCTGCCTCTTTTGTGTCCTTTTCCCATTTTTGAATCCGGCTTACATCTGGCTCATGGATAGAGAGCCGTGGGAGGGCAGGGGCAGTGTGGCCAGTCTCAGGCACCCCTTAAGCACTTATTATTGCTGGAAGTACAGAGTGGACAGCACATAGTCTCTGTTTTCATGAAGCTTACAAGGCACATTCTATGTGGCGTGAACAAACCAAGCCCTGGCCCTGGCCGGAATCTGTTTGCCTGTGCTCAGTGGTGCTGGGGTTAGCCATGGCCTGTGGCTAGGGGCCTCTTACCTCTTATTTACCTCTGGCATTGAAGGGGTATGTGTCCCTGCCAGCAGGTTCCCCCCTCAGCTCTTAGGGCTCCTAGGGGGCCTGGCTAGTGGATGGGGGAGGGCAGACCGTGGGCAGCAGAAGGGGCGGGGGGGAGCAGGAGACAGTGACTCAGTGGGGCGGCCCTGGGACAGCTGGGGAGGGAGCCAAGGTTGGACCTGATGCTCACTGAAGCTGCAGGAGGGTGGGATGAGAGGACCCACTGGGGGCTGGGGATGGAGCAGATCAGCTCATGAAGGAGGCTCCTCGGTAGAGTCTGGACTCGGGGTGGTGATGTGACAGCTGGGAGGAGGGGGGATTGCTGTTCTCTGCTTCTGATGCTCGGCCTCCCTCCTCTGGCAGCCTCCCTGGGCTCATGAGGGAGGTCCCTGCCTTAAGAGTCGGGGAAGCCATTGCACCCAGGAACCAAGGGCCTGAGCATATTGTGGGGCATGGTGCCTTCTTTTGGCCACGTAGCCTACCTTCCAACCCTCTTCCCAGAAATTTTGGGGAGTGTTAGGCTAGGCCCACATGTCTCAGAGGAAGAGATCTCACTGGTCCACTATCCAAGAGACTTTCACCAGTTGAGGATCCATGACCGAGGGTGAAGTGTGAGGGGCAGGGTGGCAGCAAGTGGACGTTTGACCTATGGGGTCTTCCCTAATCCTCATGACGTTTCCAAGAGAAAGAAATGACTTTTTTTTCTTTTTTAAACAGGCTCAAAGAGAACTGAGTTGATCAAGTTCACCCAGCAGGTAAGTGGAGGAGCAGGCCTGCAGGACTCTCTCTCTGCTCTAGGACCAGGCCTCATTCCTCGCCTCCCGGGCTGGACTGTGCAGGGAAGGGGTGTTGGCTGAGGAAGGGGTGTATGTGAAAGAAGTGCCAGGAATGCCGGGCAGTGGAGGCTCTGGGCCTGGTGGATTGGTGGATTCTGCCAGGCCTGGGTCAGCTCCCAGCCCACTTGACCTCCCTGCCTCACCCCTCCCCATCATGGGAGCTGTCTCTTGGTGCCTAGGCCTGTAGCCTGTGGCCTGGAGGGAACTTGGGGGTTGCAGTGGCAGGGAACCTCCCTCCCACCCTCCATAAAGATACCCTTACTGGCTCCTAGCAGCCCAAGCAGCTGATCTGGGCTTAGGGCGTCTCTCTTTCTAGGGGCCGGTCCTTTTCTTCTGGCTGAGAGCAATTAGCGCTCCTTGTTTTGCTTAGGGAACCCGCTGGGGCAGGAATCCCCCCCCCCCCACACACACATTTCGTGCATGTGCATTCTGGAGCAGAAGGCCCCCCCCTCTCCCCTCTTATACCCCAAACCCTTCTCCCCACCCCCAGGAGGATCCGTGTGGTCCCTTACTTGCAAGCCTACATCTCCTTCCCTGGCGGGAACCCGCTTTTCACTCTTCGGCGGCGAGTGGGCACAGTGGAATGGCCGTTGGTCTCTGTCAAAGTCACTGGGGCCTGGGGGTGTGGGGGGAATCCAGCCGCCTGGGCCGCGGGGAGGGAGAGGCCGCGGGGAGGGAGGGGCCGCGGCCTGGGCTGTGTCCAGCGTCCCAGCGTCCGCCGTGGGGTCGGGTGGCGCGGTGGGCTGTGTTCCGGCCTCCGGCCTCCAGGGGGCGGCGCGGCGCCGTGACCTCGAGCGCCCTGCGGTCCCTCCCGCCGCGGCCGGGAGGGGGCGCCCGCGGACGCCGGCTGCACGCTGGTACGGCCGTCGAGGCTCCGCTGCTGAGGTCCGGGCTCCGGTGCGTGGCCTCCCGGCTTCCCCGCTGATCCTCGTGGCAGCGTGTCCGGGGGTGTGAGTGCGGGGACGGGGAGGGTGGAGGCGCACGAGCTCCCGGGCGAGGCGTGCTTCCCGTTGGGCCCACGCCGCCTGCAAAGCCGCGAGAGTGCGCTCGGGAAGGCGGGAGCCCACGTGAGCGGAAGGGAGACCCCTGCCTTTCCCCCGCTCCTCAGGCCTGGACTGCGGCTACGTCTGCGCTCCCGGTGCCGGTGCCGGGCACCCATCCTGGCACCTACTACGGCCTAGTGCCTTCTGCCTGCATTGCCCGCTGAGAGCTACCCCGTCGACCTACCGACCTACCGACCGCTTTGAACCCCTTTTCCTGGATGAGCTGAGGCCTCCGTTCACACCGAGGCCCCAGCCCTCCTCCCGCTTGCCATGAGCAGGCCCAACCTTGAGGAGTGGGTGATGGAGGGGTGCCTGGAGGAGGATGGGGATGAGTCTCCAGACTCCCAGGACCAAGCCGCCGACTGGAGGTTTGCTGTGTGCCGTTTCAGGGATGCCTGGGATGAGGAGGAGCCTGCTCCCCAGGTGCAGGTTAAGGACCCCCCCAATCCTCCAAGACCGCCAGGCGGGGCAGCTCAGGGGGAAGGGCTACAGGCCGGCCCCCTGTCTGGGGAGCTTCAGCCAACCCCAGGACGGGTGCCTGTAGATGGGTCAGGGGATGGCCAGAGGGGCGCGTTAGGAGGTCCCTCAGGCAAGTCCGAGGAACCGGTCCCCTCTGAAGTGAAGAGCCTCCTATGCCACATGGCCTCCCACCTCAGCCTGGCACAGGGCAGTGGTGCCAGCCAAGGGGGAGACTTGGCAGGGGACCCCGATTCAGACAGGCTAATGACAACTGACTTGGACCCTGGGGAGTCGGGCAGCGATTCTGTGAACCTGGGAGGCCCGTTACCTGAGACATCATCACAGCTGCTGGCGGCAGGTAAGGGAGGCTGGGCTGAGATGTCCGGGAAGGGGGTGGGAGGGCCTGGAGAGGGATGCTCAGATTTGGGGAGGGCCCCAATCCTACTCAGGCCAAAGTTCCAGGTCTGAGGAGGGGATCTTTGGGCCAATGCAGACCCACACCATTTCCCTTTCCAAGACCCTGGTGGATCCAGCCTCCCTGAGCCCGCTGACTACCTTCTGGCCCAAGACCTCTCCTGGGACCTGCTGGCCAGTGGCATGGCTACCCTGCCAGGTAGCAGGAAGGACTAGCGGTGGTGAAGGTAGGCGGATGACTTGACTGGGAAGATGCTCACTGCCCTCTCCCCACAGGGACTCGGGATGTAGACGGCCGGGCAGTGTTGCTTCTGTGTGCTCACATCCACACCTGGCTTCATCCCAAGGGCAGTGGCCAGGAGCTCCTCCGCCTGCTGCTCTACCTGCGAAGCATCCCCAGGTTGTGGGGAGGAGGCTGGGAGGAGAAGGCTGAGGGGAGAGCCTGTGCCCACAGATGGCAGGGCCTGGGGATTGGGTACTGAAGGAAGCCTGTTCCCTTAGCCTCGAAGTGCAGGCCCTGGGACTGACTGTGCTCGTGGATGCCCGGATTTGTCCCCCGAGCTCTTCCCTCTTCTGGGGGCTCAGCCAACTGCAAGTGAGTCCTGGACTGTGGCACCCCACCCCTAGCCGTTCCATTTGTGTGGGGCTGGGGGCAGGGATGAGCTCAGCTTTCTTGCAGGAGGCAGTCCCAGGGTCCGTGCACCAGGTGCTGCTGGTGGGAGAAATGCCAGAGGAGGTGCCTTCCGGGCTGCAGGTACTGAGCCATGTTGGCCAGAGGTCGGTGGAGGTGGGGTGCTTCCCCACCAGGCCTGGGTCACAACACCGTTTTTTCCCCCTGCAGCTAGAGCAATTGTCCTCTCTTCAGAGCCTGCTGACCCACATCTCCGCTTCCTGGTTACCCGCTTCCCTGGGAGGAGGCCTTCCTTACTGCCATCAGGCCTGGCTGCACTTCCGGATGGTCAGTGCACTGGGTGGGGCGTAGAGTGGGTACGCCGGCAACCTGGCCAGTCGAGGGGGAGACTTGGCAAGGGATCCAGGTCCAGGCAGGGCAATGACCACTGACTTGGACCCTGGGGAGTTGGACAGCGATTCTGGGCCGGGTGGAGCATCACAGAGCTGGCTGCAGCATCCTGGGACCCGGATGGGACCAGCACGGTGCAGCCCTCTGTCATGCCTGCCCCTCCTCACAGCGTCTAGAAGCCCTACAGCAAAGCTGCCACGTGGTTTGTGCCCTGCTCCAGGGGGCCATTGATACTGTGAAGGCTCTGCCCCAGCCCGTGGACACTGGGGTGAGTGTTTCCTCCTGGCTCCTCCCCAGTGCTTCCCGTCTCCCTCTTTTTTCTCTCATGCTCACTTCTGTTACCTGTTGTCTTTAATCACAGGAAGTTGATCAGCTGCTACAGCAGGCACAGGCCCTGATGCAGCACGTGCTAGACTCACCACAGCTGGCATGGCTACAATGCCAGGGGAGCTTGGAGCTGGCCTGGCTGAAGCAGGAGGTCCCAGAAGTAACCCGGAGCCCAGACTACAGGTAGGTACAAGCCCAGCTCCCAGATCTTTTTTTTTTTTTTTTTTTTTTTACATTTTATTGATTTTTTTTTTTTACAGAGAGGAAGCGAGAGGCACAGAGAGTTAGAAACATAGTTGAGAGAGAATCATCGATCAGCTGCCTCCTGCACACACATTCCCCCCCCCACACACACACACACACACTGGGGATGTGCTCGCAACCAAGGTACATGCCCTTGACCAGAATCGAACCCAGGACCCTTCAGTCCACAGGCTGACGCTCTATCCACTGAGCCAAATCAGTTTTGGCCAGCTCCCAGATCTTGCACCAGCACACCATATCCCATGCCAATGACTCGGTTGGCTGGCTTAATTGTGGTCCCAGGACAGGGTGGAATGGAACAAGGCAACTGGCAGGGGCCCTAAGATGGTGTACCTTGCACTAGGCCAGCGGTGGACAAGGTTGATGAGCTGTATGGCCGCGTGGATGGGCTGCTGCACCAACTGACCCTGCAGAGTAACTGTCGAGTACAGGCACTGGAGTTGATTCAGACACTGAAGGCCCAGGAGGGCGGGCTGCACCAGGTGGGAACTATCCGCCCAGTCGGGCCGCCCCTGATCTCAAGCATGACCCCCCACCCCCAGCCCATAACAGGTGTCCTTGCCCCGCTTGCATCCCTTCAGATTGAAGTGTGGCTACAGCAGGTGGGCTGGCCAGCACTGGAGAAGCCAAGGGAACCCTCGATGGACACCCTGCTCCAGGCCCAAGGCCCTTTTCGGGAGCTGGAACGGGTTGCCCAGGTGAGTTGGCCATTTGTTTATTCTGTAGGTACTGGGGCACTTTGCCAGGGACTAGCAATGCAGGGTGGGTGAAACTGATACTCTCTCTGGATTTGTAGTGCAGCAGAGAAGTTGCAATTAAAGGTTCAAAGTCATAAATGTGTGTTTGCAAACTGAGGCAAAAAGCTCTGGAGAGAAGCAATGCAGGTGGTTCTACCCCAGTGTATAAGGAAGACATGACCATCTGTCTCCCAATTTTTTTTGTGTGTGTGTGGGTAACCAAAATTTTTGGTGGCCTTATTTTTGACAAGGCTAGAAAGAAAGAAAGGAGGGAGAAAAAGGAAGGGAGGGAGGGAAGAGAAGGGAGGGAAAAGAAGGAAGAGAGAGAAGGAAAAGAGGGAGGGAGGGCGAGAGGGAGGGAGGAAAAAAGGAAAGAGGGAAGGAAGGACATGACCAGAAGGATGTTGGGCAAACTTTCTTGAGATAGTGACTTTTGAGCTGAGAGCTGAAGGATAGGTTGGGGTCACCAGGCAGAAGAGTATTAGAGATATGAGACATTCCAGGCTGAGGGAACAAACAGCATGTGCAAAGGTCCTGTGGCAGGAGGGAGCAAGACTTGCCTGAGGAACTGTAAGGACAGTGAGGTTGAATTGCAGAGCAGAAGAGGGAGGGAGAGGTGGATGGGATGAGGTAAAACAAGGCTATAAAAGTGCTCAGTGGCTAGATCACTGGGCCCTTGTAAAGGTGCACAATTTAGGCAGGAAAGTCACATATTCAGATCATGTTCTAGAAAGATTACCCCAGTTTCTGGGTAGACAACGATTTGGAGGATGGATGTGGAGAGTACCTTTGAGAGGCAGTTGCAGTGGTCCAGATGGGAAATGGTTGCTCTGGCAAGGATGATAGCAGAGGGAATGGATTAGATGGGATTTGATGGTAGACACATATGAGAGGGTAAGAAGGAGAAGGAGATTGTAAGAACGAATGGGCTCTGTTTCCAGAGAGAGGTACCAGGAGACAAGGACTTTCTGGGGGAAGGGCATTGGTGAATCCAGTCTTAGGTGTGCTTTGGAGATGGCCATGGGGGAATGAGAGGAAGACCTACTAGCATTGGGCCTGATGCTTAGAGGAGAGAGCTGGCTGCAGAGGGCCACTTGGTGGACATGGGTGTGTGGGTGACATTTGAAGTTTGGTTACCACGATTTCCTGGGGAGACAGTGGACTATCTTCAGAAGCCTCAATGGTCTGGGTAAGGGTGTGGGAGCAGGAGGTGGTACCATCAGAGACAGATGAGGAAAATCAGGAGTGTGGGGAGGGTCAGGAGCCAGGAGAGAGAGGGTTGAGTGTTGCTGAGCTGTGGGTCAGAAGAATCTTGAGATATGCTGGGAGTGGATTAGAGTGGGCTGATGAGATGAAGACATGATTGTGAGGTTTGGCTGTGGGGCTAAGAGGCAAAAGGAAATGTGTGGGGAGTGGGAAGAGGGTCTTTGATGAGAGACTTGATGATGTGTAATGTCAGTGGAGGAGACCTGGGCTTGGGGGCTAGACCATCAGACCTCGGCCGCTGAGCCCAGTCTGTGTCTCCAGGAGCAGGTCAGGCAAGGGGAGAAGTTGCTGCAGCCACTGGCTGGCTGGGGAGCAGCGGAACTGGGTCCCCTTGGGGGCCGCTTTCTGGCCCTGCAAGCCCAGCTGACGGAATTCTCTAGAGCTTTGGCCCAGCGGCGGCAGTGGCTGGCAGATGCCGAGAGGCTGTCGTGCTTGTTCAAGCAGGTGTGTGAGGGTCCTGCCCGTCTGGGTGGTCAGTAGGGCCTGAGGGGTGGCTGCCCAGCTCCTCCACAGCCTGAGCTCTTCCTGGTCGTCCTGCCCGTTCTCTCTCCTTGTCTTCAGTCTGACCCCTAAATCCAACCACTGGGGATGTGGCCTGGGGCCAGCACACTGTGGGGAGGGGAATGGGGAGAAGGCTCGGCGGTCTTGGTGGGATTCTCCTTCAGCGCCTGGGTGGCCTTGGTGTTGCAGGCCTCATCGTGGGCTGAGGAGGGGCAGCGGGTGCTGGCAGAGTTGGAGCAGGAGCGCCCAGGGGTTGTGCTGCAACGGCTGCAGCTGCACTGGACTAAACACCCTGACCTGCCTCCTGCCCACTTCCGAAAGATGTGGGCGCTGGCCACGGGCCTGGGCTCTGAAGGCATCCGCCAGCAGTGCCGCTGGGCCTGGGCACAGTGCCAGGACACCTGGCTGGCCCTGGACCAGAAGCTAGAGGCCGCACTGAAGCCACTCCCAAGGGGCAGCAGAGCCAGCCTGTGCGCCAGCCAGGCCCCAGTTGCGCCTGCCACCCCTCTGCTGAGGAAGGCGTACAGCCTGGATCGGAGTCTGGGGCAGAGTCTCAGAGAGTCTGTCCAGCACTGCCACCAAGCGGCCGGTGTGGCTGGCTGTCACAGACCAGAGGCTGGTTCCCAGCCTGGGTTATCCCCCACGGTGCTTCTGCCAGGCAGCTCTGATCCCAGGAGTCCCAACAGGTACAGGCATTGGGCAGGGCAGGGAGGGCAGTGGCAGGGCAGATGCCGGGGTCTTGACTTCTCCTACTTGGTAGGCTCCAGTTGGTGTTGGCAGAGATGGTGGCTACAGAGCGGGAGTACGTCCGTGCCCTTGACTATACCATAGAGAACTACTTCCCTGAGCTGGATCGCCCTGATGTGCCCCAGGGCCTCCGTGGCCAGCGTGCCCACCTCTTCGGCAATCTGGAAAAGCTGCATGACTTCCACTGCCACTTCTTCCTGCGTGAGCTGGAGGCCTGCACGCAGCACCCACCCCGGGTGGCCTATGCCTTCCTGCGCCACGTAAGCCCCCGAGGCTACACTGCCCCTTGCTTATTCTGCCACACCCAGTAAAAGCTGTGGGGCACATGCTTGGGGCCAGGCCTTGTGCTGGCTATATCTGTGAATGAGACTGGCAGGGCCCTGCCCCTCAGGGTGCTCATAGTTAGGTAAAGGAGACATAAAAGTGAACAAGGGAATTCCAGGTTCTGGTTGGGGCTAGGAGGGAAACAATCGGGAGAGAGATGATCGAGTTACCAGCAGGGCCTGTGAGGAGCTGATGTTGGAGCTGAGGCCAGAAGGTGGGGCTGGAGTCAGAGTGTCCTATCAAAGTAAAGAGCTAGTGCAAAGCCTGTGGCAGGAAAGAGACCCAGGGGTCCAGTGAGAGACGGAGCAAGGTGGCCGAGTGTAGTGAGCAGAGGAGTCCGGTCTCAGAGCTGTGGGAGGAGCCAAGCTAGGTACGGGGCTTCTTCCCTATGGGCAGGCCCCCTCTGCACCGGGCCGGCTCTTGCCAGATCACCCCTTGTTGCACCTGGGGCTGAGTTACGTGTCCTTGCAGAGGGTGCAGTTCGGGATGTATGCGCTGTACAGCAAAAATAAACCTCGCTCCGATGCCCTCATGGCTAGCTATGGCCACTCCTTCTTCAAGGTAGGTGAGCCTGAGTGCAGGGGGAGGAGGGTGGCGGGAGTACCCTGAGGCTGCCTGATGCTCTCCACCCACCTGGCAGGACAGGCAGCAAGCCCTGGGGGACCACCTGGACTTGGCCTCCTACCTGCTGAAGCCCATCCAGCGCATGAGCAAGTACGCGCTGCTGCTCCAGGAGCTGGCTCGGGCCTGCGGGGGGCCCATGCAGGAGCTGAGTGCTCTGCAGGCTGCCCAGAGCCTGGTGCGCTTCCAGCTGCGACACGGCAATGACCTGCTTGCCATGGATGCCATCCAGGGCTGTGACGTGAGTCCTGCCAGGCCGTGGAGGGCAGGTGCAGTGGGTGTCAAGGGAGGGGCCAAAGAAGCTGGGCACCCACTGGGCCCCCGCTCGGCAGGTGAACCTCAAAGAACAGGGGCAGCTGGTGCGACAAGATGAGTTCACGGTGCGCACGGGGCGCCACAAGTCCCTGCGCCGAGTCTTCCTCTTCGAGGAGCTGCTGCTCTTCAGCAAGCCTCGCCGAGGACCCACAGGCATCGACGTGTTTGCCTACAAGCGCTCCTTCAAGGTAGGCCCACCACCCCCACCCCGGGCCCCCGCTTCCCCACGCCTCACGCACCCCTCTCTGCCACACAGATGGCGGACCTTGGCCTCACTGAGTGCTGTGGGGACAGCAACCTGCGCTTTGAGATCTGGTTCCGCCGTCGCAAGGCCAGGGACACTTTTGTGCTGCAAGCTGCCAGCTTGGCCACCAAGCAGGCATGGACGGCTGACATCTCCCGCCTGCTGTGGAAGCAGGCTGTTCACAACAAGGGTAGGTCCCTGCCCCTACTTCACACACACTCACTCACACACACACACACACACACACACACACACAGACAGCCGAAACTCCCCAGAGCTTTTGTTGTCCCACAGGGGCCAGGGAGGGCCTAGGGACCTGGAAGTATTGGGAAGTGGGGAGGAGGTCCAGCAACAGCAGCCAGTGTAGGGGAAAGAACCTCACAGTCACTTCTCTGACTGTGGACACAATCGTTTTTTTTCTTTTTAAAATTTATTTCAGAGAGGAAGGGAGAGGGAGAGAGATAGAAACATCAGTGATGAGAAGCATGGATCGGCTGCCTCCTGCATGCCCACACTGGGGATCAAACCCACAATCCGGGCATGTGCCCTGACTGAGACTTGAACCATGACCTCCTGGTTCATAGACCAACACTCAACCACTGAGCCATGCTGGCCAGGCCATGGACACAGTCTTAATCTGCGTATCAGAGGCCTCGTCTCTAAAAGGGGAATTATACCTGCCCACAGGATTGTTGGGAGGAGAGAGTCTGTCACCCCTAAGGCTCAGTGCATGGGATGGATTATCTGCTGGGAATGGGTGTCAAGGAAACACTTATTTAAGGGGGAGGAAGAGTAGAGACTGAGGACCAGGCTAATGTCACAAAGGGCCCCAGCTGTGCCCTCTCTCCACCAGAGGTGCGCATGGCTGAGATGGTGTCCATGGGCGTGGGGAACAAGGCCTTCCGGGACATCGCCCCCAACGAGGAAGCTATTAGCGACCGCACCATCAACTACGTTTTAAAGAACAGAGGTAGCCATGTGGGTGGGGTAAGGAAAGCTGCGTGGGAGGCAGTGAGGACCTCTGTCAGCCTGTCTTCGCTCCCCTCAGGACCTCGTCCAGGTGGGCTCTCACCTGTCCTAACCTGACCCTCTCTCATGCAGAAGTTCGTTCTCGGGCCTCCATCGCTGTGGCCCCGTTCGACTGTGAGAGCCCCTACCTGGGGGCCTCGAGTCCCCTTCCTGCAGACCCTGCCTCTGGCTCAGTCCTAGGGTCCCTCAACCTGCACCTGTACAGAGACCCGACTCCTCAGGGCCTCCGCTGGCCCCTGTATTCCACCAGCTTCCCAGAGGAAACGGCGCTGGAGGCTGAAGGGGAGCTGGGCAGCCAGCCGTCCTTGAGTAGGTCTGGGCTTTGCCAGAGGCAGGGGGGCACAACTTGGGCTCTGGGCCACCCCTGCTGACAGCTCACCCACTCTCCTGCCCTAGCTCCTGAGGACTCAGAGGTCTCATCCCAGTGCCCATCAGCTAGTGGCTCCAGTGGCTCTGACAGCAGCTGTGTGTCAGGGCAGGCTCTGGGCAGGGGCCTCGAGGACTTGTCTTACGTGAGTGCCATTTTGTCTCATACGCACCAGCCCCTCCCCAGCCCAGTCTGGGCCTATGGCTGCCTTTCCTTTAGGAGGGAGTGGGGGTGGGTGGGCCAGAGCCATTCCCGGAGGATCCCACCTGGACCCTGAGCTGGGAAATAGGCACTTATACCTAAGTTGGCACCACAGGTCTGAGCCCAGGCTCGAAGGTGAGCGGTGGATCCAGCAGCCTATTAACTCCAAGGAGCATCATCTCTTTCTGGATCTCCCGTGACCTGGGCATAGCTGGCACCTGGGCCACTTCCAGCCCACACTCACTGCCCTATTGACTACTTATTCTGACATTGTACCCACTGGACTCCAGGGAGCACCGGGTCCTGGGCTCCTGGCTCCATGTCCCTTCCCCTGTCTCTCCAGTTCCCACCCAGTTGTGGGTTAGGATTAGGCTAGAGCAGAGGGTGGGTGTTTCCATGCTCGAGGCTGGTGGGCACCAAGTGGCTCAGCAGTGACTGGGCTGTCCCACTCCTCGGGAGGAGCATGAGCAAGTCCCAGCAGCTGCTTCCCAATCTTGGTCTCAGCCAAGCTCCTCAAACTAAGGGGAAATCCTCTTGGGCCCTTACTTTGCCTGCTCTGGCTGCCCAGGCCCAGCCCCTTCTTACCTGGGTCAGTTTGGTTGTATTGACTCAGTGTCTTTTGAATAGCTTTCAATTAGATTTGTTGTCTAAACTTATTTCAGTAGTTTTTGGCATCTCAGAGAGGGTTTGACTTGTTATTTACTCTTTTATTTGTTTATAATAAAAAATAGACTGATACATGCATTCTGGGACATCCTTGGTTCAAATGAGTCTTGGAAGCCTGGGACATGTAGGGTAGTACCCATGGGTACCCTAGCCCTCTTGTAAGTACTTGCCCAAGATAGAGTAAGAGACAGACCTAGGCAGGCCCCTCTGGATGAGCAGGTTCATGCAGCAGCCGTATTTCCTGGCGAAAGGCAGTGTGAGCTGGAAAGGAAGGTCATTCTTATCCCTGATTTCCTGTCCAGTTGCCTGCTCTAGTTCTGTGTGGTCAGGTCTTCCCGGCTGGGCAGGGGCAGGCGCCGGAGCAGGGATAGGGTAAGGCCAATTGTTGGGAAACCAATGCTTTTGGGCTCAGTGCTACCTAAGGACATCTTAAAGGGCTGTGGGTAAGAGTGGCTAGCAGGGAACTGACCAAAGGGTCAAAAAATGCCACTATTTTCCCACTTTCTGGCTGTAGATGCTGATTTCACCTTTCTAATGACACCAGAGACCTAATAATTGGGCACTAGTGAGTTTGTGGTAAAAGTGTTAGAATAATGTACTTGGTTACAGAAATACCAGATTAAAGAGAAATTAGCTAAATCTTTTTCACCTACAATCGTTTTAAGGAATAAAAAACCCAAAACCCTGGGTCATTTCTTTGCCCTTTCTGGACATTTTCTTTTTCCATATAAAAATGCTTTAAAGCAGCTTAGCTATAAAAGGAATGTACAAAAGTGGTGACATTATGGTTAAGTAGGCGAAGTTGGTATTTCCTGTTGAAAAGGTCTGACTCCCAATAGTCTGTCTGATTTCAGCATCCCCAAGTCTTGGGCTTGTATGATATGCTTCCCTGAGAGTGGCCGTTGTTGTTAGTGGTGAGGGCAAAATTGATATCATTGGAGGAAAGCTACAAAACCAAGTAGCCCGAATACTGCTTTGTGACCACTCTGGACTGGTTAACTTCAGCTGTCCGTCCTCCCCGACCCCCACCGGACCCAGGGATCTGTGGTCTAGTTGTCCACCTTGCCTTCTGGGAAGCAAGACACAGTGCCCCTCTGAGGCATCCTGCATCCCAGTGGGGTGCAGGTGGCTCTCACCTCCACCCAGCTGTGCAGGCGCTCCTGGGTGTGCCGGTCATTCTTGAAGCCGGTGATGGCCAGCAGATCCACCACAAACTGCTTGGGGCTGATGTGCAAGGTCTGCCAGGAGAGCCCACGGTCAGGCAGGGCCGGGGTAGCTGCCAGACATATTTGCTCTCAGCCCCTCAGAGTGGGATGCATGGCAGGGACTGGGGCACTGTCATCCCACACTGCCTTGGCCAAGGCTTGGTCCACATAACATTTCCCTGTTTTCCTGTCCCGGTTTCTCTTGCCACCCTTCTGTCCCTGACCTACTCCTCACTTACTGTGGGTAAGAGGACAGGAGAGGGGACCTGTCGTGTACATACCCACAGTCGGTTGGCCAGGGAGACCACCTTGGCTGTGATGGCTTTGGGGTCCTTTTGTCTGATGGAATCCAGGATGATGTCGGTCAGGAAGCGGTGACACTTCTGTGCATAAAACATCTCTTCCCAGGACAGAGAGAAACTCAGGAAGGTCACCTCTGTAGAGGAGAGAGTGGATGTGGCCCCTTCTGCCCACATCTAGGGCCTTAGAGGCAGCCATGGTAAGGGCTTCTGAGGGGTACTCCCCGGAGGGCCCTCACCTCGGGGCAGGGGGCTGGCTGAGGGCAGCGTGTGCCTCAGGATGTCCATCTGTGTGGTGTAGATGATGCTGTCCTCAAAGAACATGCAGGAGCCATCGTTGCCCACCACAGGGGGGTGGCTCACCTTGAGGATGACTCCTGAGCTGCCGAGGTCACTGGGCTCAGGCAGAGGCTGCTCAGGATCAGGGCTTTCTGAAAAAGTGTGGGGGGAGGGTTCTTAAGCCACCTCAAGAGCTCAAGCAGGGAGGGACCTCTGGAATACAGTCAGTCACCCCAACCTTCCCACAGCTGCTGCCTCCAGCTTCTCGGAAGTGACACCCTGGATTGGTAGGAGGCGGTCCTGGCTCTCCTCTCTACGTTGCCCTGGAATCATGGCAAGCCAAATCCTAAATTGCAGGACTCCAAGGAACTCTCCAAATTTTGCTGCTGAACTAAGACTGGTATCAAATAAGGCTGATGATAACCCAGCTGGGGATTGGGAACCTTGGTGGTTATACAATGAGAGGTGCTTTCTGGGAGAGCCTTGGATGTATGTCCACTCCGAAAAGAATGTTTGACAGAGCAGAGGAAGCAGTCCATCATGGCCATTCTTGGCGCATGTGCTCTGCACCTCCCCCCCAGATACAGCACACCTCGTTCTCCAGCTCTTTGTCCTGTCCATCCCACCTCAGTAGCTATCACTTCCTTGCAGTCACCCAAGCCAGAAACTTGATCCCTCTGACCCAGTCCTTAACCCCCTTCTGCCCCGAACTGTCCAACCTGTTTCATCTAGAATGATTCCCCACCTACCACTTCCCTCCTGCTGCTGCATTTCCTCTCTTCTCAAGCCAGCTTTCTGAACGCACCCCTGACTGCTCCCTTGTTTTTAAATATTTTTTTTATTGATTTCAGAGAAAGGAAAGGGCAAGAAACAGAAACATTAATGATGAGAGAATCATTGATTGGCTACCTCCTGCTCTCTTCCTACTGGGGATTGAGCCTGCAACCTGGGCATGTGTCCTGAGCAGGAATTAAACCATGACCCTCTGGTTCATAGGTTGACACTTAACCATTGAGCCACACTGGCCGACTATTTTTAATTTATTTTACTCCCTTGTTTAAAATGCTGCAATGGCTGCCCACTCCCCTTAGGATCAGAGCAAAATGCCAGGTCCTGAACTTGGGCCACAAGTCCTGTACTGATTACTTTGTCTTCAGTCTTATCTCCCTGTAGGTGAAGCCTGGCCTCCAGCTAGACTGATGACCCACCCACAGCACCAAGGCTTCTCTTCCTTCCCCTGTTGACTCTCCAGGCCCTAGCTGCTTCTGTGCTCCATCATTTCATAGGTGCCCCTTCCCAAACGCTTTGTGGTTTCTCAGCCCCTCAAGCCATTCCACTGTGTTAGTCACGTATCTGTATCTGCTGCTTGGCACAGAGCTGGACTCACCTCTCTCCTTTGACTTTTGCTTGCCCCAGTCCTTCAGGGCGACGGCTCTTTTTGTGGGGAGGTATGGTTTAAATGTTGGCTCTGGCCCTTTGTCTTTGGCTCCAGCTCCAGCCCCTGCCTGCAGACCTGGGTCCTTCTCTGAGGCTGTGGAATGACCTTTCCAGGAAGTTGAGGTACTGGGCTGGGAAGCAGCCTCACTCCCCGAGGGGAGCTGCAGAGTGGCCTCTTCCAAGGCACTGTTCAGAGGAGCCGGCAGTGGCTGGAATTCCCATTGTTTGCAGTTGACCATGTCCCATTCCCGCACCAAGGAGATGAGTTTTTGCATGGGTGTGACAGGAGGGTCTTTGGTTTCACATTTCTGTGTGAGATTGACTGTGGTGGACTTCTTTTTTGGGGGACTTTCAGGGCAGGCCCCCCAGTGTCTGGGGTTGGCACATAGGCTGGAACAGTGGGAATATGTGCTGGGATTGCCTGCCCGCTTGGCACCTCGGCATAAGGACATCTGGATGGTCCGGGAATACTGCTCAGCCTCCTCCATTTGGCTGGACCTGGCCAGGGTCCCCTTGGCCTTGTTCCAGGGAGTCCTGTCATTGCAGTTCTGGAAGTCTCCAGGCATGCAGGCTATGGTCTGGGGAGGGAGGGCAGAACAGCTCTGGGCTTGTGTTTCCACATTGGAGCCTTCCAGGTCTAATAAGCTGGGCCTCCGAGACTTGACTTGCTCACCCAGAATGATCCATCCCCCACGTGGTCTACCAAGGAGCTTTGCTTAGTCTGAATGGGGTGGTGTCAGCCTAGGGGCCTCTCAACTCCAAACGAATATATCAGCATCCCAGGCCACAGCAGCCAATGTGCCCTGTGCCTCTGTCAGGTTCAGAAGCCAGTTACTATGCTAGCTGCCCCACTCTGCTCTGCCCCCAGTAGCAAAGCCTGCCCTGAGCTTTGTGGGAGTGTCCTTTGAGGACACCACTAAATTAAAGAAGGCTGGGTCTTACTTCTTTGGCATCTCTACCAAACTCCACCAGCGACTCGGGCCCTTCCGTCACCACATGCAACCTCCTGATGGGAAAAGCTTCTTCATTTTCAGATTCCTTCTCCTGGGTCCATGACCTGCAGACTCCAAGGACGATTGGTTAGTGAGCAGAAGCTTCTAGCCCATTGCCCTGTCGGGCAGGCTGGCTGAGAGTGAACTCTGGACAGTAGGGGAGAAGGGACATCTAAAGGGTTTTGGCATAAGTTAATGCCCAGACCTAGCCTGCCCCTCCCCCTTAACTCCAAGGAGAACAGG